GCAAGTACACGGCAGACCTCTGCCTGTATACATATAGGATGTGCTCGTTTAAGGGCCGCTCGATTCCTCGCTAATCTCTCCCTCGTGTTACGTAATAATTTCATCGGGATTTTCGTCCTTTCCGAAAATTGATACGCGTGCGGCGTTGCGGGCGTTTCGACGCGTCCGCGCGCGATCGAAAGCTGCCAGCTGCCTCGGCAAAAGCTCTCGAGCAGCAGCAGCAACGGTAGCAGCTCCAACGAGCTTTGACAGCTTAAAGTGCCTCGCAGCGCTCAAACGGGCAATTCTCTCTAAATCGCGCGCGCGCGCAACAATAAAAATGCTAATGATATTTCGACGCGCCTTGCGACACGATGTATAACGTTTGCAATGTGTACGGCTCGGCGCGCGACAATCAGCCTACGGCCGTGTGATGTGTCCTCAAAGAGCATTACAACTAGGATTACGACGACTCGACGAGGATCCGCTCCAAGCTCCACGAGCCATCGTCGCGACTCTATATATACTGCGCTGTACGTGCTGCACTGCGGGCGGGGTGGACTGTGCACTGTAAAGCGACACCAGCGGCGCTCGCCTAAGCAAAACACACACCGAGGAAAGGAACTTGGGTAAATATTGTTACTCGCCTGCAGGGCAATAGACTGGCCCGTGGCCATATGTCGCCGTACAAAATACGCACGCGTTGGCCTTTTCGTCTCGTCTCGAGCCAGCTCTATACGGTACGTATGCATGCAGCACCGTTTACGGGTACTTTGCGAGCGTCCCGATAACTCGAGCGTGATTGTCCTAGCGAAGGTCGCAACGAAAATTGTTCGAAAATATCGTCAAGACGCGTACACTGATTCGGGCCGAGCAGCATGTGTCATCCGCGTTAAAGGATTATCGCGCCTGTAAAGCATCCCCCTTTTTTTCTATTACAATCGCGCGATGAGTAAAACCGCATTACACGTGTGGCAGCAGCAGCTACCCAGGCAGATCCGTGAAATCGACAAACAACAAAAAGGAGTGAATCGCTCGATTACGGGACGCGCGATCGTGATGAATTAGCATCGCTTTTAAGTTCGTGTACGTCGTGCTAATCTCCGTTAAAGGCGTGACACGAATCGAGTGGCTCACGAGGTCTGGGGTCGTCGTCGCTCTTGCTGCCAACGTAGCCCCGCGACACATACGCGCCTACGATAGCACGTGGCGAGGATTACTCAGCCAATTTCCAATGTCCGATTACAGTGTACGATATCGCGCGTCTCCGATTATACGATTGTAATTATAAATAAATAATTTTTTCAGGTCCCTTGTCAGCTCGCCGCGCACCCTTTTTCTTCTGCGATACGTCGATGTATCATAAATATCGTTTTTTTTCTTCCTTGCGATCGTCAAACCGCATGCGATTTCCCGAAATAATCCCTACGACGTTATGCATAAATAATTTAGTAGCCTATGCGTGCAGTTGATTTTCACCCTTTTTCCTATAAATACCAGCTGCGGGACTGTAATAGCCCGATGCGTAATAATCCCCAAAAATCATTCGGCTTCCCTCGTCGTGCCTTCTTTCTTTCTTTTTTTCTTCTATTACGACGTCATTCCTCGAGACGCGCCCGGGTAATTTATAACGCGTAAACAAAAAAAAAGGGCCCGTAGCGCAACACAATAAACGCACGCGCTTTTGCCAATAGAGACGTGTGTATACAGAGGCTCGGCAAGTGCCAAAAGTCGCCGGTGCATTCATAATACAAATACGCACGGGGGCTGCTTGTGCTGCTGCTGGCCGTAGTTCGACCATACTAGAGCGGAAAAAATCAATTAGTCTCGCTGACGAAGTACAATATGCCGCTGTACGTACGGTATACAGTAGCGTGCACGAATGGCGTTGCGGAGAAGTGCAATGTGATTTTTGCACGTGTTCGCCAAGCCGCCTGCAGTTTTGTCTCGATTAGTTTCGTATTGTGAGCTGCTGCGCGTCTTTGATACATTGTACATATACGTATTGTACGCGTCGACGATGCATAATATGTTGTTTAGTCATTGCCGAGGCCTTTAATTACTTTAACGAGACCCCGAGCGAAATGACGTCTCGACTGGAAAAAAGAGGCCCCGAGGAACACGCATGTGTATACCCGCGCCAACACTCGATGAAGATAAATCTTGCAGACCCTCGAAAAAGCGCCCAAAGCTCGTTCTCGTGTGTCCCAAGACATGGATCTTGCTTACGTGTACTTTTGCGCAAAAAGGCTGTACATATAAACGCGTTCTCGAACAATAGGCTTAAGTCGCTGCTTGGCAGGTCGATCCTCGTTGAGTAATGTCAAAATCTGGAAGGGCGCGAGCAAGTGTATACGCCGGCTTGTCTTTACGATACCCATACACACGTGTGTGTGTCAAGCCTTTGAAAATTAATCATTGTGCTAGAAATAAATACATACACGCGAAAACTGAAAAATTGTCGTAAAAGAAAAGTTTGAAGATGCAACAAAAAAAAATGGTAAAAAAAAAGAAAGAAGGAGAGAGAGCGAGGATGATATCATTTTGTAACCGAAGCTCATAAAATATTCTCCTGCAGTGCTCCGCCCCAAAGCTACTCAAAACTGCAAATCCAATTCCAACGAACTCTCGTACTCTTGAAATCCCCTTTCGAAGAGCGCGACAGAATAGTCCAACGGCAGTATAGTGGCGCACTCGTGTCCTTAGTGAAAAAAAAAAGAGAGAGAAGAGGAAAAAATGGCGCAGGCGACTCGGCGGACCCGCACAGTAGCAGCAGCAGCAGCAGCAGCAGCGCACGAAAGTAATTTAGCATTCAGAGGTGAAACTACGGAGTGTATTTGAATTTTATCGACGCGTTGCCTCTCTCGCTCGGTTTTTTTTTCTGCATACGCACTCTGGGATACCCAAGACTTTCTTTAAGAGGACGACTCTTTTTATATAAGCGGCGCTTTCTATGATCCCGAGGGTACAGTTGGCCAGCCACCACCGCAGATATTGGTAGATGGCAATATCTTCCTTTTCCTTCCGAAGAGGCTATGAATAAACTATCCGGTGACTTTGAATACTCGAAGCGCCTCTAGCTCGAGTGTATGCCTCGCGTATACGCAGCTACACGTATATGTATATATAGATGTATATCTAGTTTCCATTTCGTCCACTCGCCATATAACTGTCACGCGAATTTTTAGTATCCCTCCCTCAGGTGGTTGGATTACTAAAAGACCGGAGCGAGAGCGAACCTGCGAGCATCGAGTTGATACTTTTATATGCACGCGCGCGCCTGTAGATATCTTTTTACGACTTGGAATTATATGGCAAAAGGACGTTTTTTTTTCTGTTTTCCTTTTTTTCTTTTACTCCCTTGCATATCGAAAAGAGAGAGAGAGAGAGAGAGAGAGAATGATTGATAGGAATGCCGGCCGTGGCTAACGCAGTTGACGCGCACACCTGCAAAAAGCCCTCCAGAGCTGCTGCTGCTGCTGCTGTAAAAGCTCTGACATATATCTATATGCGTCGAGAGACCTCGAGCTCGGCAGGGCGCGACAACAGAATAATGACGCTCGCTCGCGACGAAGTTGCTGTAAACAAGAGCAGCGATTAATTGCGATCTATGTGCGCTCTACGTAGAGCCGTGTCAGAATGATAAAATCAAGCAGTTGAGGATAATGAGTAGCAACGTCGTGGCTCCTCTCTTTCTCTCCTCTCCCTCTCGCTCGTAGCTCGGGCGTGCAATTCATTGCTTTCTCTCTCTCGGCTTGGGTTATTAATATTCAGAGCGCCCAAGAGTGACAAATACGAGGCGAATGAGCCAACCCTGAGACTCGCGCTCTGTAATTAACGCTAATCTCCCTCTATATAATGGCGTAAGCTCGGGCGATGATATCCAAGCTGACTAATGTACTCTGCGCAGCTATCTCGTCGGCTTTTGCGGTGCTCGAGGCTCTCGAAGAACAAGCACGGCAGCTACAAGACGTCGACGACGACGACGACGACAAGAAGCGATATTAAATACGAGTGCCGATTCATGATCACGTGTTTTTGAGATTCTCGAGGCTTTTCCTTACATACTTTTTTCTCCCTCTCTCTCTCTCTCTCTTTCTGGCATTGCGCCGCTTAGGATATGAAAGAGGTCATAAAAGGCTCGCTGATAATCACCTTAATAGTTCGCTGTATGTGTGTTGCGCACGAGAGCTCGTATATACATTTACATCCCCCTTCGGAAACAATGCAGAAGTGAGTGAGCTGCTTTCACGAATCGTCGTAGCGGTGATATATGACTCTCTGATGGTAAGCACGTGAGCATATAACACACACACACATCTACAAGGGACTATATGGTACTGAGCGACGATCAGGAGAAAAGGGAGATGAGAGAAGCTCACGCGAAAATTCCGACGTTTAGTGTTGGGCATAATCGTTTGTACACCTCGAGCTCGAGCCGAGGGGGATGGTGGTTTTTCAATTTAGACTCTTCGTGCCTATTGCGGGGGTGGTGAGCGCGCGCCAGAATGTGCTGGAGATTTGCTCGGCAGGATTAGTAGTTCGAGAGTCGTCATTGAAAATACTTGATTTTTTTTCTATCCTCACGCCTTTTGCCTATCCGACTTTTTTTCTCTTTTAATCTGTCACTGCGTACGCGATTCGATGATTTTTTTCTCGAAGCAATCAATTTTCTTTAAAAATCATTATTAATGCAGTCGACGAAAAGTTCGAGCTCCACACGGGTTATCGATTTTTCGCTGTGCACGATCTCTTGAAAATTCATGGAAAATTTCACGTTTCATACGAACGGCACATAAACGACCGTGGTTGACTTACAACTCCACCTCTTGGAAAATCGCTTCGCAGCGATACAAGTGCAATTGCGCATCCCAACGATCGATACAGTAGGTAGCTCGTTCCAACGAAAATATACATTGGAACGTGAACGCGTTTAAAGCGCAGCTGCCGAGCTGGCAGATGTCAGGGTCACTAACTCCGCTCTTGCAGCAACTCAGCTGTTATTTTTCGCTCGGCTCAGCTTTAGTTGCACTGGTTCTCGGCGCTGCATGCACTGCGCAAACAGCCAGCAAAAGCGTCGACGACGCGCTTTGTGTCTTGTGCTCGCACACTCCGCAACAACAACAACAATCGTCATGACAAGACGAATCAGTGGAAGTTACATATTTTTATTGCTGATCGAGTTTCTGCTGTTACCGAAAAATGAGGTGGCGTCCTACAGGGCCGTTGCCATCATCCACGGTGTTCTCACGGGCAGCGACAGCATGGACGAAATATCACAGAGGATACAAGAGGTAGGAGGATGATGTATGCGTGCTGATTCTTTATTATTGATTCGAATGTATATAACGAAGGCGAGTGTATACGCAATTCAAAGCTAAGCGACGCGCGATGACAAAGGAGCTTTGATTCATAATTTTTTTTTTTTTTTTTTTTTGCGAGCTTGAATACTTTTTCATAGCCAATTTCGAAACGAACGGGTTCAATTATCATTTAAATTTTCGAAATATTTCCAATAATTATATTCAAATATTTGAGTGATTTTGTTTTCTGTAACGAGGAAAATTTTACAAAAGTAAAAACTCAAGATTTTTATCGTTAATTTCCTCAGAAACATCCGGGAACACAAGTATATAACACGGTAAGATATGCAGGCTGGAGCAGCTTGGAGCCAATGTGGAGACAAGTCGAAGAAATCGGCAACGACATATTGGCGATCGGCGCCGCTTATCCGGAAGGCATAAATCTTCTGGGATACAGTCAAGGAGGACTTTTAGCTAGAGCCATATTGCAACGATTTCCCCAGCACAACGTGAAAAACTTCATATCCTTGAGCTCGCCGCAAGCTGGACAATACGGAAGTAAGTTTGAAAAAAGTGTACAGGGCCGAGGAATCGGCACTGACAGATTACGTTCCCCGTATATCTGATCGATCGAACATCGATTTTTTTTTTATCAACAGCTCGATTTTTACACCTGATATTTCCGGATCTGGTGTGCTCGACGGCTTTCGAGCTGTTCTACTCGTCGGTGGGCCAGCACACGAGCGTCGGCAATTACTGGAACGATCCGCATCATCAGGAGCTCTACTACAAGTACAGTCGATTTTTGCCGTTCGTCAACAACGAGAAAATCACCTCCAACACGAGCACGTTCAAGGAGGGCCTGACGAAGCTCCAGCGGATGGTCCTCATCGGTGGCCCGGACGACGGCGTCATTACGCCTTGGCAGAGCAGCCAGTTCGGTTACTACAACGTCAACGAGACGGTGGTGGAGATGCGAGACCGCGACGAGTACCAGAACGACCTCATAGGCCTCAAGACCCTCGACAAGAACAAAAAGCTGATTTTGCACACGGTGCCGGGTATACCGCACTTCATGTGGCACAAAAATATGAGCATAGTCGATGAATTTATTTTACCCTATTTAGATTAATTTTATTACAAGTATATACAACTCAGTGATACATAACGATGGAAAGACTGCGAACAATTTTTGTACGATTATCATATCATTTTTAAATAATCAAAAACTTATCATGGCTGAATTTATCAGCGCGCAATAATGCACGCGCGTGCAATGTACATATTTTCGTCTATTGACAGTGTCAACGGTGCATTTACAGTGAATAAAAATGAATTATTTTGAGACAGTAAAAAACTTGAACGTAAAAATATTTGTCTAGTTGGCGTAGGTGAAAGCAGTTATAAGATCCCACATCCAGAAAGGCTGATCGTCTGGCACATGCTGTCCAGCATTCAGGACGAGCACGTGCTTCAAATTTCCTCCCTCCTTTGCGTAACCAGCCAATTCACCGGCGACTCGCCACTCCTTTCTCGGAGATCGTCTGAACTCATCGGCGCGACTCCAATTCAAACCCATAAGATACTCATTCGTCGCGTTGTAAGACGCGATCTTGTCCAGGGCTCCGTTGTAAAACAGTACTCGAACGTCGTCTTCCAGTAGATTGACCAAATGCTCGTCCTCGGACTTGAATAGATCTTGGTCCATGTGTTTGTCGACGTTCGATTTTCCGTAAAATTCCAGATCGCCGACATGCAAAGCACGTCGTATTTCCGGTCGGTTGAGAAAATCGATGAAGTTATGCTTGAAGTCTGTCGTCACGAGACTTGGGAAAGGCGACTGATGATGTTTATCGCGAGGCTCCATCAAATGTTTAAAGGCAGCATAAGCAACTTCGTGATTACCCTCGCGAATCAAATAATGGACAAAGTCCTCGATGTTCTTGAAGCTTTCTTTTTTACCGTATATATTGGTTGCATCCAAGAAACCAACCGTGTATCCATCTTGTTGGTAATTGAACTGCTTCAAAGGATTGACCAATCCGTTGCCGACGGCAATTCCCTTTAGATTAATTGTCATGCCTCCTTCTCGATCGTTTTGAAGTTTGATGCTGTGCGCAAGCGCCGTTACGAATTTTCCGGCGTACGACTCGCCGCAGATGTAGAATTTGTTGTTCTCGAGTTGGGGGAAAAGCTTGAAGAATTGCGACAACGCCTCGTAGAGATTGAACACGACGTTCTCGAGGTTGCGAGAGAGGCCGGATTCGTGATTGGTGAAGCTGAAGCCGCTTCCAACTGGATTGTCGATGTAGAGGATGTTGTGATGCAGATTCCAAGACACGTTCCGAACTCCCAATCGAGAATCATCGTCGACGATGTACGGGCCGTGTTCGGCAAAGAGTCCAAAAAGTCCCGAGTCACCGGGTCCTCCGTGCAGCCACAGTATCACTGGGGCTTTGGGACTAATCTGTGTAACAGCAGAAACGGAGATTCGAGCTTGATTCAGGTTGTAAAATGAATAATCAAAATGTGTCGAGAAAGACGTACCAGAGCTGGATAGTACCAGAAAAACATATGCGAGCCGTAACGTTTGTCCACGGTAAGGAAGCCAGAGTAACTTTTAAGGCCATGGAAATCGTCGTGAGTTACTTCGGCCGCAGCGCGAGCCTCGTTGATTTGATTCTTCTCGATCATGGACGTGAGAAAGAGCGGGCTTCCCTTGGCATCGGTATCTATCACTTTTCCCTGCTGGAAGCACGCCATTGGATATTCACAATCCTGTAAGCGAGGCTCTGCATCTTCGGAGGAGACACCGAAGACGTTGCTTTGAAGCAAAATTATAAGTAAGATGCACAAAGATAGATTTTTCATTTTGAGTTTGTAATACGCGATCAAGTTCACGCTCACGAGACTGTCGATCGAATGGATCGAAATTTTACTGGTCTTACTGATATTCAATGGACCATAAACAATAACATCTCAAGTCACTATAGAGTAACGTATATGAATAAATCAACAACAGAAGATAGGAAAATATTCGAAAAATTTATTCTTAACATTTTATAAAATATTTAGAACAATAAAATTAGTATTATTTCAATACTATTATTTTGATCAATAAATTTTATACTTGAGTATCTTTTAAACAAATTGAATGTTTTTTTTATATTTAAACATTTAATAGAAATTCAAAAAGTGTCATCAACTTATTTTATACAATCACATAATTCATTCAACATATAACTCTTATACAGCTTCATGCTTCATGCTTCTTTTACATGTAAATTATGGTAACAAAATATTTGTTTCATAGGGCTTTATTTACTAAAATGGTTTGTTACGCGTAAAACGTGTTATGAGATCCCATGCCCACATCGGCTGATCAGCAGGTACCATGTGACCAGCATTTCTCACAAGTACTTCAGTTAAGTTATGTACAATCTTAGAATAGCCAGCTAATTCCTTACCCACCCACCATTGCTTTCTCTTGGCTACTTTGTAATCTTTGGCTCCAGGCCATTCCAAATTTTGAAGATAATTTTCAGTTAATGGATAAGCTACAATAATATCCAACTGACCATTATATATTAATACTTTATAATGTTGAAGCAAATCAGATACAAAAAATGATGCTGATTTTGTAATGTCCTCTTGCAAATGAGTTTCAACTTTTTTAGCTTCTGTGTCAAATGAACAATTTCCAACGTGTATAGCCTTGCGAACATCTGGTCTTTGCACAAATGTTGCAAATCTATCTGATGCTTCAGAGTCTTTTGTATGTAAATAATTAAAATAAAAGTCAAAACCAGTTAAATTTTTAAACAATGAGGGTTCTGGTGTCAAATCATTATCAATCAGCCTATCAAATACGACAAATGCCTCCATATATTTTTCTTGCTTGATCAATTCTCTTGCTTGTGATTCCAATTGCTTGAATTGATCTCTGCCATTGAAATCAAGTAAGCCAATTTGATACAGATAATCACTATAATAAAGCTGATTCATAGGATCAGTTAAACCATTACCAATGGCAAGACCTTTGAGATTTATTTTCAACTTGGCTTTGATATTGTAATCTTTAATTGCATGTGAAACTGCAGGAACATATTTTCCAGCATATGACTCCCCAGTGACGTAGAAATCATTAGCTCGTAATTCAGGGAAAAGTAAGAAAAACTGTTCCAAAGCTGTATGGACATCTCTGCCAACATCTGTTTCATTAACAGCATATCCCTTGTCATCATCAGTGAAACTGTATCCTGTACCCACAGGATTGTCAATGTAAATGACATTATGATTTAAATTCCAAGAGTATTTTCTGCGTTGAAGAGTTTGATTTTTCGTAACACTATAGGGACCATTTTCAGTGAAAAGCCCAAACAGAGAAGTTGCACCCGGTCCACCTTGAAGCCATAAAACAACTGGTGCATTCTTAGGTTCCATCTATAGTAAAAATTTATCAATTTGAGACTATAATTGAATTCATGTTGAAAAATGAAAATTTTATTTAAACAATTTTTAGATAATTATATCAAACAAAAAATAAAATTACGTTTACAAAAAAATTATACATCACGAATAAATATACTAATCATCAGTGAGTAAATTTCAATTAACGCCCGCATATCATGTTACTCGAGAGATATTGAATAACAGAGAGCAGACGATAAAAAAAACAGATAAACAAAGAGCGGAATTCAAAACATCGGTCTCCTTAGATAACAATTGTTTTTGGTACTGACCTGTGCAGGAAAAAACCAGAAGAACATGTTGGAGTTATATTCCTTATTAACGGTAAAGTAGCCAGAATAACTGCTGATTTCCATCATCAAAGCCATATCTTTGTGTTGCACCATGGCTGCATTTCGGGCCTCTTTGATCTCACCGGCCTCTATCATAGGAGTTAAAAACAGTGGAGGTCCAACGTCATCATCAGCACGCAGTGGTACTTGCTTTAATTTTGGATAAACATTGGTGAATCCTTCACTGATCGAAAAATAGGCCATTAAGGCCAACAAAGTAAAAATTTTCATTTCGCGATTGCAGATTTTGCGTTTCGCACAATATGATATGATGAGGCAACAACACAGTTCAACGCGTCAATGAGCGGCAGTCGCTGCTGCACCAAAACGGCAAATGCGGAGACTTGACGAGTCACGGCTCACTGACCATAGGCCACAGCAGTTGGCATGACTTTCGCGGGATGACGAGTCGATGTGGTAGGAAATTCATTTTGCTACATTCTGAAGTTATCCAGCTGCTATTTAGAACGAATGACATTTTAAAATGATAGTCACCAAATACAATATTTGTTGTATGTTAACATTGATAGATTTATTTTTAAGTCCATGAGTGGGCTTCAACAAATTGTTATTCACATTTAAAACAGACAATTATTTAATGAAATAAAACTAATGAATAATTTTTATTATAAAAAAATATCTATTCTTTTGAATATTCATAATACAATTTCAATTAACATATTATCATGGTATGATTATTTTTCTTATTCAACAGATGGGTTTTCTATACAATTGGAAGAGAAGTAAGCTAAACTATAATCAATTACAGAACGAGCTAAGTAAAAAGCAAGTACATCATTATTGTGTTGATTTTCATTTTTCCTGACATTAAAGTATAAATCATCATTTGAATTCAATGATTTTTCTACTTCGTCCAGTAATTTACAATATGATTCATGAACTTCATTGAAAGACTTGAAGTTAATCCCATTTTTTAATTGCTTTATCACAAGTGGAAAACGATTTCTACATTCTTCAATTGGCTTTGTATTCAATAAAGACCCTTTTCTTTTTTGAGGTTCAAAAATTTGTTTGTGCAGAGATTCATTAAAGCCTTCATCATCAACAAAGCTGTATGGATTTTCAAAATCATGATAAAGTTCATAAGAGCTTTGAAAACTTTCACCATTAACTTTTGAATTTATGGAATCTTTTTTGTGTAAAGATTTTCCGTTAACATCTTCACTGACCATTTTCAAATTTGTTGAACGAGATCCATGTGAAAATTTGGTTCCACTACTTTTCCTAGCCATTTTCATAATTTTCATATGTTTGTCATGTGTTTGTTTGACAGTAGCTGATTCATGATACATTTTTTGTAATTCTTGATCTGTCAATGTTTGCTTTTTAAAGGCAGATGAACTATGCAAACGTTCATGTTCAGCAGATAGAATAAATTTGTCTGTGAGCTCTTGAATTGACAATGAATTCACGTCCAGGGATTCTGAGTTTTCTGCCGTTTCAGAACTCAATTTTACAAGATCTAGTTGTAGCTGATTTTCGTCCATTTTAAAACAAAAAATTTTAACGAACAATGTTAGTAAAACGAAGAAATTTAACCTTTTATCTGATGCTATGGGACTGGCCGACTTGTCTAAGCAGACTACTCGCTACACAGTACACACTCTCATCACATAAATTGGCTTTACCAATAACAAAGCTAGCATGGACAAGAAAGAAAACAAAACCAATGAGATGGCTCTAAGCCAGTCATTGGCTCAGAATATTTTTCTGTAATGGTTTGCTAATTTAAAGAAAAAATTTTGATACGAATTAAAGTATGTTTGAGATCAATATTTTTGACAGAAAATAAAATGAAAAGTAGAAATACTTGAGAATCTTCAAAAATTACAAGATGATCATCACGTTTTAACTTCAAACTCCTTAACGCATGCGTCGTAACGCTCGTAGTAACTGACAAAGTTGAGTTTGAATTTATTAATTTCATTATACATAATCTATTTTTTAACAAGACAATGAACTCGATATTTTACTTTTTTCTATGAAAAATAATGTTGCATTTTCTACTTGAGCAGTAAGAATTTTTTTAAATAAGTAATATAAAACAAAATTACCACTAGTTTTGACTTAAGCAGACGCTTTTAATACCTCAGAAAGAAAAAAAAACAAACAGACTATTTTGTTTCGCCTTCTCTGCATTTACTTGTTAAAACTTGAAAGTAATGTTTTAAAGATAACCGATAAAATTTCAATTGTTGTTATCGATGCGAACTGTCATCGACGCATCCTACGCATTGAACTTGCAAACTGCATGCATACATTATAAACAGATCACTGATAAATAGGAGTGCCAGTACAGTGTATTTATTATTGAGATTGCCCTCGCCTGTAGTCGACAAAAATATTGACCTTTCTTCGTTAGCGTGTGTATTTTTCAATAATCTTACTCTAGCTAAATTTTTAAAATTTGTTCTCATCTGGTTGTTTAATACTCAAATTTTATTTACAGGTAATTAAAAAAAAAGTTTCAAAATGAATGACTCTTTTTTAGAGGATTTAGATTTGCTGCCAAAAGAAGCCAAAGCTAAAAGTTCTGCTCAGCTAAAAAATAAATCATTCATCACAAAAAGAAAAATCTTGTCTCCTCCCCCATCAAATATTCAAACTAGAGATGAGCTATCTGATGCTAGCTCTAAGCAAGAAAAGATTGTATCATCATCCTGTATTAATATTCATAAATCAAAAATGACTCGCAGAAGTGGCAGTCAAGAACCCAAAAACTTGTCAATTCCTGATGGGAAACCTCATAGTTCTACTCCAAAATCTGATAAAAAAGTACCACAAACAAATGAAAATGTCAAACCATTAGAAAATCAACTAGAAGTTAATGAATTCAAAGCTAAAGTTCAAGAAGCCTTGCCATTGTTCAAAAACCAAGAAAAATTTAGTGCAGATAAATCAAATCGACGCTCAGGAAGTTCAAGTCGACTCTTAGAAGTAACCAGTAAAGAAAACAGCAGACCCTCTACTGATTCTTCATCAAGAGATAGTGGCTCAATGACAGATATAAAAAAACATCGTAAAACTTCAGAAGGTGAATCAAAAAAAGTTGATATTTTACCAAATACTGACCCTGTAATGTTATTAAGTGCCATTAAAGATCTTGTGAGCAGATACACTGAGCAAGAAACTTTAAAAATTTTGGGGTCAATGTCAAATATGTATATTAGTTCCCAAGCCAATCTTATAAAAAATTTAATGTTACAAACTGATGAGTTGGTAGAAAAATTAAACAGCAATAAAAATAATCAAAATATAAAGTCATTAGTAGAAGAAAATGAAAAAATGAGAGAAGAAATTTTTGTTTTACGAACTAGAAATGAAGTTTTACAAAAGAGAGTAAATGAAATGGCTTGTATCAAAGAAGAGAATGTTATGCTCAAAATGAAACTAAAGGAATTGGAAGAATAAACTTAAAAGTATTGTATTATTAAAAAATAAGATATAGAATAAGAAGTTGGAATTTACAACCATATTTAGAAGTATATTTTTAAAATTTATATACTTTCTAATTTTATAGTTAAATGTTCTTATCTTTACACACCAATGTTGATGTTAATAATAAGTGCCTAAAGTTATATTTTTTACCTCGTAATTATAAATAATTTCTTTGTGCCTATTTAAAATAATATTTTATACTTATCTTAAAGATGAATAAATGAAAAGAAAATCATATTAATTCTTTATAAAAGTATTATTTTATTATAAACCGAATGACATTCTCTAGTTATTTTATAACATTCATTGTACGCTGTTGACATTTTTCTTTAACACAAATATATAAATATACATCACATTTTTCAGAAAGTTGTACACAACAACATTAAGTATTATACAAACAATATAATTAAGTTAGATTATCATTATTTTACAATTAAATTAACATAGATAAAACTGATTATATATTCTTTTTTAGATTATGTATTGGAACATGAAAATGAATATTATTAATAATGAAAACTCGCTTCATAAATGCATGTCATAAAGTGCATTTGATTATAATCACATAATATAAGTATAAAAAAATTAAAAACATCTAATTAAATAACTCGCACTTGTGATCATTCATCATGAAATGTGAGATTGTCCCTGCAATATTTTTCACGATGCACGACTTTATACGCGCCTTCGCGGTTGATCCGGTTCATCCGGCTCGTCCGGGTTGCTACCACGGTCATCTATTTCGTTGTAATTTTCTTCGTCGTTCTCATCGGGTTGTTCACCCGGTTCAGGTGATCTGGTCCACCTGCGAAATAAAATTTTAATTTTGATACTGTTGAAAAAAAAAATCTGAGATTCATACCTTATCAGAGTTTCTGGTGATCTATATAAGAAAACGAGTTTGGCAAATAAATCCTCTTCCAGACATAGATCGCCGCTTTCTCTGACAAGATAGATGTCAAGGCAGAGTCGCAGTATCCGGTCGACATAAGGCAAATCTTCGAACATAATTTTCGGGGCCATATCGCTAACCATTCTTTTGATAAAACTGCTCACCAATATAACGGCTGTGGTATACAAACCAAAAATACTACAAGAAAACCATCAAAACATTTGTATATAGTTGTAAATAAAAAGGATCATATACATATACATTGTTTTCTTACCCCAAGCCGCTGATAAAACTCAGGCCTTCGGGAAACATTTTGTCATTGAAAAAATACATCATTATGTAGGAACAATCATTCAGAGGTATTTCGTTTAATGTACTGTTATAAATTGTATCGTTGCATGGTTCACTAACAGAGAACCATTGTTGATTTAAAGAATTATTCTCCACAAGTAGCACGACATCTCGGTAGAGATATAAATCATTCGAAGCGCTGTTTTCTGCTTCAAGATTTGCCCTGGCTGCAAATTTAATATTATGTTTTCAAAAATAATCCATCTTTGCTCCAAACAAAAACGCGATACTCACTTCTAATATCCACCAAAGGTCTCATAAGTTGTGGAACAATCGTTACACCTCGACTAGTCACTTTGAAAAACATGGGTAGAATATTTTTCAATTTCACATCGCTGCCCGTACCATTTAGCGCCTTCAAAAGTTCTACTCTGGACGGGTTAAATGTTCCATTGACGTATGGTTCAAGAAAAAAGTCCTTGACAAATGTCGTGACGCCAGACATTTCTTTCGATGGGGGTCTACGAACTATTGTCAATTCCACGTGAATCGTCACAGTATAATTCGAAGCTAATTCCGTCTTCAACCGATCTTTATCGGGTGGTGAGACGTTCCATACTCTGCCAGATTCCGTACTGAATTTAATAGCTGCCACATCGGTGTTCTGATAATTTTCCAAAAAAGTCACAGCTGATCTGTCTCTATGCGTAACTTCGTACATTCCTCGCAGATCGTCGTAGTTTTGCTGACTGTACTCGAAGATCGAGTTGTTTTGAGCAGATAAAACGTAAATTGGTTCGTAGGAGCCGATTCGAAGATTCAGCGTGACTTCTTGAGGTATATTCGCAATGCCTACTTTGCTTCCTAGAGCAAAAAGTAGTAGAGGGAACCAAATCATACCAATCATAAGGAAAAGAGCTCCACCTCCAATGAGGTATTTACTCCATTGAGTCTTTTTCACTCCTCGTTCTTGAGGATAATCGTTTTCCAATCCACGCATACACTGTAATTTTTTATTTGGTTATAAATCTTTTTTAATAAATTGATAATAGTAAAAATTACCTTAATTTGATATATATTAGCAAAAATATCTTCCATTTTGAACCAGTCCATCACCGTCATAGATGTGTCGGTCCAAATCCAATCCATGACTGCTCGCATTTCAAACAGGAACGGTACGACCATGAAACTACACAAAAATTATTTTATCATAAAGTGAGCTGTAACGGTCGAGATCCTGAAAACTAGCATTCTCTTACCCTTTGAATAATGTATAATTAACTATCGAATACTTTTTACATAAAAAGTTGCCCAGTATACGAGTCGGATAACCAAGTCTCAACTGGTATGCAGCAAGCAACAAATAAAAGCACTTAACCATGTACCATATTTGAGGTATTAGTTTAGTGTTGAATTGTCTTTCGGTAGCACTTGGTAAAATGATGAACATCCAGATATGTATACCGATAACCAAGAAATACTGAAAAATTAGCTTTCCTTGTATAGACTTCTTTAAAAATAATGCTCGATCTATGACTATCAGAGCAAATTGCAAGAGCAACATGAGCAAAAATGGCAGCGGAACACGATTTTCCGATAAGTATTCCGTCACTCCACCATCTCCTTGTTGAGCCTGAAATTCATCTGTGTTTAATCCGTTGCAATTTTTAAGAAAATATTGAGTTAGATACATACACCAAAGGATGAAAATCCAAAAATCAATAGTAAGAAATTAAAGAAGTCACAAAAAAACATGTAAGCGTAGACGTTGGTTTTTTCTTTTCCTTGAGGATCCAAAATGCTGTGGAAAAATGCCTTAATCGGTTCGAAGTGTGCGTTGAGCCTGCGTTAAAATTAATAGCTGACTATTTGTTCCGAAAATCATTTTACTTAATAATTTAAAAAAAAAACATACGACAAGGACACAGCATTTTTTAGACTCTCATCCAGGACATTTCTCTCAACGGCTTCTATAACAACGAGTTCCTCGTTGTCTATGTTAGGTGGTAAGTTTGGTTCATCGCCTTCGCCTCTCGGGTATAATTTTAAAACTCGACCCTTCGGAGTGGTCACTTCCACACTTTGGCTATCAGATTTATCTATAATACTACTTGCACCGCTATTTGGCTCATTGGTAGCTACTTTGATCACGCTTTCGTTGTCTGCGTCGCCTCCTGCTTGTCTTACTGTTGCGAGTGTTAATCCAGCGGGATATTTTCGCAATCTTGTCGAAGTTGGACTAGTCCATTGGCCCAAGGATTTTAACATGAATCTTAAAAAACATTCAAATTTTAGAAAAAAAAGTTTTCTTAAAAAATAATGTATTATTTAGTATTCAAAAAAAATATTTTTACCTGTGGAAAAATACGACTAGTAATAATAACAAATCCCATAGAGCGTAATTCGGCTTCCTCTCGACTCCGAAAATTCTCGGTATCTCGAAAGGATAAGAGGATAGTTCCTTTTTGTTCCACGACAAAATAGCTGGTTGACAAATGCACTTGACAATGACAATAACTTCGATGTAGGCGATCAAAGTAATCCAAAATGTTTTGGAAGGTCTTGGAATGGTCAAAGAGCCCCAAAGAAAGACCATAAGCGGCAGTGGCGTCGAGAGCAACGAGGCATTCTTTATTTGATGCAAAAATACCATGAAATAGCAAAAAAAGGTCGAATGGGCTAGAATTCCAAACCAAATCGATTGGGCTAATTGAATGATCGGTGGTTGGTCTTTTTCCGACAACTCCACCTCTTCCTCATCGATTTTTGGATATGTAATTGTACTAGACAAATAAAAACAAATCGTTAATATTTTCAGGAATTCGGCTAGACGGAAAACTACAAATTTATGATTTAACGTGGTGGTAGCATTTTTACAGCGATGAACATTTTCATTTTGTCAAATGTATTATTTTCATGTTATATGTACAGTAAGTGAACACTCATGCTTCGTGACGTGAAAAGTGAATACCTAGACGAGGACATATCCAATCCTCGCTCCATACTCGGAGCTAATATACGGATGTGCGGCAGCGCCAGCGCATTGTCCTTCCTGCATGGTACACACAACAAGTCATACTACCAGCCACAATAAAAAACGCGCATTTTTTGTCGGAAATCGAAATTAAGAATTTGTAAAAACGGAAACGACCACGAAAAAATTCTAAAATACTGTATACCTTTTTATATCGGCGTCGACTCTGCGGCTCGTTCCCTCGCCTGGATCCTCGATTACGCCTGGCCCCGTCACTTCTGTTGATCTATCAAAGCAAGCATTTCACTACTCTTCTAACTAATATATTACAAGTTCGTTATAATTTTATAAATGAGGTATGTTGGTGACGATTTCATGAAATCAAAGTTACGTGAATTCTAAAATGATTCCTCATGAAACTTAAGCGTCTACTGAAATTTTCAATGTTATAACACGGAAAAAGCAGAGCAATCAAATACGTCTACTTACTCTTGCCTCACTATTGGTAGAGGCTGCCAAATTTTATTGATACCCAGTCTGGTACCCATGCGAAAATCTGGCTTTGCTTTCAGTATTTTCTTCTCTTTCGCAAGTACTTTTCTGACGTATCGATAATCGTTGGAGTAGCGATTGAGGTGTTTCGTCATAGAGACCATGATGCTGTTCAAAAACGCCCATACAAATTTAAAGTAAGTCAAGAATGATACTTTGGCTCCTTTTTTCTTTGCTTTGTCGGTTTCTTTGATCGATGATTTGTCCAATTCGTCAACAAGCTCGCGATCGGTGTCATCGTCGCCATCGTCGCCTGAGCTTACGGTGTCTTGCTCCGGTAGCTGCGTAAATTATAAAAAATATATTAATTTTCCTGCAAATACGAGGATAAACCACATGGATTTGAAACTCTGCCCCAACGTTTAATAATATCTACAACTACTGCGGCTACAATACAGTGCACAAAACACCGCGTTATATTCCCTTACGTAATATTTTATGGTTTAGAGCGGCTGCAGCTTTCCAACTAGTGCAAGCTTATTATTTATTTTCCAGAAACCAAATAACACAAGTAAGTACTTCTGGTAAAATAGAGTGAAATAGAGTGATAGAGACGTTATAATAAGCACATCAGTTTTGCCCTTTAATTCAAACCCATTAACAAAAATCGATGCTCAAATGGTTATTATGTAATTTAGAAATAATTTAATTGTGTTATGAACAAGATAGATGAAATTATTAAGTTAGCAAATTCAATAATAAGGCTCCAAATGAAGATTATCTACATAGATCCACCCGTCCTTGCAACAACGAAGAAAATGTAATATTTATAATACAGATGCAGAGAAAACAACAGCTATAAGAATGATCTGATGAGTTGATTAACAACAACCAACGATCAGTGAGATAAAACAAAGAAGACAGATATTTTTAATCATGCAGATCCTTTGACATGATCCTCACATCAGTGGCCGCGGCCGTATCGGACTCTGATCGAGCACTTAGATACGAAACGGTTGATTTCTTGTGGCTACTCATCGGTGGTACGCTTCTGCGTCGCATCTTCAGGGCGTCTTTGGGGCTGCCTCCGTAAAGGGCTACATGAGCAGCTACCTCAATGTCGGTTTTGATGAGCGTGTTCATCAGCTGTAAATCCCATCGTTCGTGTTTGCATAGTAACAGAACCATACATTCATTAACCCTGAGAGCTTTATTATACCGAGTGTCGTTATCTCGTGTGTAATGTGTGTATAGATGTAGTTTCGGAGATTTAGATTTAAGATTTAGAAGATTTAAAGAAATTTCTTTTTAATGTACAAATGCAAAAACTCATCAAAATTATTTGTGAGTCAAATATCAAACATGTAAATTGTTTTCTTTAAAAAAAAAACCCATGTGTTATGTTCAAGAGTATTATTATGTAATGTTTTCATGCCGAGATGATAATACATTCTGTTCATTTGATCATTTAAAATTATTTCATTCAAGAAACTTACCTGTGAAACAGTCATTCTACGCTGTTGATTATCAGTCCGATCATCTTCCGAGCCAGATCTCTCGGGGTAGAAATCGGTCAAATCGTCATCGTCGTCCATGTGATCGAACATGTAGTAGTCCCCCGATCGTATAGCTAACAAAATATATTTAAAATCAGTACCAAAATGAGCATTTATTAATAAATCAGAAAAATAAGCAACACGTATGATTAATGGTGAGGATAGAGATATGTTACAATTGCCAAATAAAGATCACGTCTACGTGTTCTAGGAGTAAAGGAAATAGAAAGATTATTAGTACACACCTAACTAAACGTAAAGCAAAAATTTACAAAATTTACAAGTTATTTACAAAAAATTCTTTTCACTCAAAAATCGAAATTTCGTTCAGGATAATCCGGTTCTCTGGTACAGCGAGTGATTTTTGTTAGTGGAAGGATATAATGCAGGGCTGTAAAAAAGTCATTACGCAAATTTTTACCCTGTGCATGAGTTTTTGGCTCTCCGCGCATATAAGTTGGCCGATCGAGCGCTTTATACAGTTTGTCTGCGAATTAAAACAATTAAAAAAAAATTAAGACTTCGATGTTTGATCGATGCTTTAAAATTAAGCAATGATTATTCAATTATTTCATGTGAGCTAAAAATGAAGTTTATGGATAATCCTGAAAAGTAACGATTAAATTATAGGTGCTACAACTATATTAACAGTGTATAAACAACACATCTGAAAATTAATTTACATTTTAATTAATATCTATGAATTGTTAAAAATATATAATGTTAGTATAGAACATCTACTTCATCAAATTTATTGATGATTCACTTACAAAAACACAGTAAAGTATAGTATTAGATTAGTTTAAGCTACATATCTCGGAAATTTTCCCGCTAAGAACCTAATCTCAAAATAAATCATTCCACAGAGCTTTGCTGCGCTTCGTTTATTTACAAGTGTAGAGCTTCTTGAGATTAAAATGTTTCACTTAAAAGCCACCAGTCAAAGCTTTTATACATAGCACACATGGATCGATCCAGCTACTGAACGAAGAAGAAAAAAATCCTGTTTTCATTACATGTGTGGTGAGATCGTTGCGAAGCCATAGATCGTCTTCTTTGACCCTTCCAGGATTCAAAACTATATTCTCTCCTGTAAGACCTCAGCTCGACTCTACTAGTCTGATAGTGAGGTGGCGGTGAAAACACCGGAAAAGTCTCGTCGGGTGAGGCTACCCTTGGATTAAGCTCGCTATTTGGTGGCGAGCTGAAGGATATACGAGTGGGCTCCAGATATCCTTCCAAACTTACGGTCATGATCGCCGAATTAGGCGAGGGTGCTTGCAGCAAAGACGTGGCTTGTGGCGTCAAGGGTGGATTTTCATCGTAATCATCGTTGCCGTCGTCGATTGGCGTTTGGTAACCTTGAGGAGGCGTACGCGTCGAGGATATGCACGAGGACATACTCGACGATCTCGCTAGTGGTGCTACATTTTCATGGAAGTAGTGTGATTGGGACAGTACAAAAATATGTGTGTTTGAGAGGGGTGCTCATCATAAAGTTAAAAATAATCATGTTTGATCCCTTGCGTTAATAGTTTAATGTAAACTATTTTATTTAACCGAATGAAGTCTATCGATGATAACTTACCGACTTTATGAATTTTGGGTTCCTTGTAATTAGGTCCCTGTATTTTCCTCTGATTGGCTTTGATTTTATCCATTTTGAACTTGATCTTTTGCAAAATAGCCTTTTCCACATTCTCCTGCTCTCCGATGCGTTTCTGATGCAGCTCCTCCAGTAATTCGGCACCACGCGACGCTAGTATGCTCATGGCTTTGGTTTCGTCGACTATGTGAAAGAAGTAGTAACTGCGAAACAGACGCTTTTGAAAGAGCAAGAAACCGAAGCAGACTCCGTCCCAGACCATGCCAATGTCTTCGCGATCCACTTCACAAACTGAGCTGGACTTGAACTGTTCCGCAGATAGCTCGAATTTTTTTAAGCAAGCTATTCCGAGCAATTGTATTACCCAGCAAGCATGAGTTTCGAGCTAATAAATACAGTAACATAATATTAAATGCCCTTTTTTCATAGATCAAATGTTGACTTACGTTTTGAATGAAAACACATCCTATTCCTTGGAATATGGTTTTGCAAAATATAACAAATACATTGTAGCCTAGCAGTATATTCCACCACTTGAGTATAATTTTCACCGGTCTCAAGTAGAAATCGCTGCCTTGCCAAAGAAAAACAAAGGCACCGATGAGGTAGCCCAAAGAAAAGAGATTTGTCCTATTTGTTCCGGCCATAAACATAATTGACAGTGTGAACCACATCAAACTCATCATACCGCCTCGTTTGATGACATCTAAATAATTGTGAATTTGTGATACATAGTCCTTGACGGGATTGACGAAATTAGGATTATCCATATCTTTGTAAACGGAATAATTGTGAGCAGCAACAAACTCTTGACCACTGTTGTCGTGCCGCGCCTCAATACGAAATACTAAACTTTGACGGACCACCATGTATAATAGAATAAAATCACCTGTAAATTTAATGCCATTAGATATGCAAAATCAAGAGAAAATTTACTTGTACTTACATATAAGTTTCTTTGAATTCGGCCTAGAATCTAAATCTGGCAGGAACATCCATTCTTGCAAACCTCTCAAAATATCTGAATCGCTCCATGGATAATCTAAAACGATGGTATTGTTAGTTGAATTTATCTAAAATACAAATAGACAAATAGACTTACTAATACACAGCCAGGTAGGGGGTGCCACGACGAGCGCATACTGGAACGGCAATAGTACAATTGCGAAAACTTTCAAAATCGGCCAAAGTCTCGATACGGTTTTTCGATGTAACGAAAACAGTATCATTAACCATACACTATAAAATAGAGAGTAAAAGTCGAGTCTCGTGCCAATCAGGGCGACCATGCCCAGAAGACAAAATTCGAATCCAAATTTGTAAAAGCCGTAATTGAAGAGAAATTTGAGGCAGAAATCGATACCCCTGTCAGCATCGGCACGTTTAATGTTTGGAAACATTACGAGGGGCGTCTCAGGTGGTTCATTATGTTTTTGCCTGTAAAACATTTGTCTAATGCCAATTATCGAACGAGCCGTTGTTACGACAATCACACCGATGTATCCTTCGAGTAATTTTGGCAGTTTAATCTCTTGGCTGACTTTTTGAAAACCGATCCACTCAGCCATGTTGTAAGTCTTTGTGACAATCGTCTCGTTACTCGTTGAATTTCCCGGCATATATTCCTACGGGAACGATTAAGAATTAAATAATAAGCCAATTTTGTATTTTCGTCGGTCACAAGTTATTCAACTTACCGTACAGTTACGATCCCAATCCTTGTGTTTGATATAGTCTATTTGATAGAGCATTTTGATTACCATGAGTACAGCTACTGCGGTCGCTAGCGTGTTAATCACTAATATTTGCGTGCTACGTCGTAAATTTATAACCACTGCTATGGTTAGCACGAAGAAAAAGTTTATGGCGCATACCTACGAACGTACGAAAATAAATCTAGATTCCAGCGATCGACATTAAAATAAAGCGCAACGAGAACTTACGTCATTGATGCAAAATAGTATGAAAGAGGTGAAAATAATCTTTTGCATGTGTATCTCGAGAAAGAGCCACACGTGATTGTAAAAATCGTAAACGTAAGCACTGATCTTATTCATAAGAGCTTTTCTTTCCAGCTTCGACATGTCTGAAAGCGAAATCACAATTTAGATTGAAAGTACCGAGTTTTACTTTTTTGTGATTACAGTACTTACGTTTTAACTCTTTGAGCGTAAAAACATGCTTATTTTCTTCATTAGAGCTCGTGAACACTTCAGATGGTGTTACGATAGGAACCGTGTTTGGAGAGTGACCGAGACTGTCAATGAGTATAGCATCGCTGAAACTATAATAAAATCTCGGTGAATATTTTGACGTTTTTCTCAATACTTTTGCTTACTTTCGTTTGATGTCTGTTACTTCGAGAAAGTCATCGTGAAAATAGTGAATTTGCACTACAGTGATTATGACGAAAAATGTTGGCGTGAGAAGTTTTAAAAACAAATCCTTCGTTGCATAGGTAATCAGGCCAATATCTTCTTGCCTGTAACATTAATTCAATCGATAATGTCAGTTTTTGACGAGGAAGGGCCGTATATTTGGGAAAGAAACTTACAAATTTTTTGAAATGTGAAGATATCGTTCCCAGTAATCGGGAAAATCGCGGAATTGATACGTATAGACTAGAATCAACATGAAAACCGAATAAGCGATGACCGTGATCCAAAAAGCGTACATCATTTTTCTCCAAGCCATCCACGATATCTATAAAAATTCGCATGAGTAAGCATCGTAGATGCGCGATCGAAAATAAACTCTAATCAAATGATAAATTATCACCTGGAACGAGATGATGAAAAACAAAAACAGCGACATGTATATGATGCGAAAGACGGTCATGCGCTCGCCAGTGATGCCCGAGGTGAAGAGCATGATTGCCAGAACTGCGGTCCAATACTTGGTGAGGAACTTTTTCACCATCTTGCCGACGTTTTTCATGAACTTGCTCCTTATCTCGGGCAGGCTGTCTTGCTCCTGCTGCTGCTGTTGATTGCTCATGGTGGCGGTGGTCACGGATACGTGCAGCGGCGCGACCATGTCCCGAAGCGTCGACGAGCTGCGCTGCCTCATCTTTTCCGCTGTGTACTGCCTCATCGTGATCCAGAACATCGTCATGAAGAGGCACTGCCAAAGTCGAGAGTCGATCGTTTATTCGTTGAGAAAATTGTATGACACCGATGCAATCGTACCTTCACGACTATGTGCCAACAGCCGAGTTCGTTGGTTTTCTTGAAGCCGATATCGGCCATGTTTATGCCGTGTATCACCGTTGGCAGCTCCTCCTCGGTCAGGTCCATACTGTACACGTACTGCACGAGTATCAAAAGAGTCGAATAAAATACTATAAAAGGCGAGCAACTCATCATCGATGCTCGTTTATTCGGTACCATCCACAAAATTAAAGCCCAGATCAACAGAGCAAAAGTCGTCCAGCTATGGTACATTATGCTCCATGTCTAAAAAATATTTGTCATTGATCGTATTACTTCCCATCTTACGGAGAAATTAACAATAAAAAAGCCAAGTACCATCATAATAATATTCGTTGCTAAGTAGGATGAATTGACGACCAGTTGAAAAACAGAGTAAACCGCCATGACGACGTGTTCTAATACGCCTGGTTTTTCCTCGGGAGCACCTGTGCACGCAGAGATCATTATTTGCTTTATATTCGTTTTCCATTAGCGTAAGTTACGCAAATGAATTAGACGTTTTATGGTTCGTCTCTCTTTCTCTCTCTTTGCGCTGACCTTCGCTCAGAGATGCCATTTGAATGCTGTCGTCTTGCGGACCGTCCGGGACCGTGACACTGCCCGTGGAGTCTTGCAGCAGTCCAGTGCGACCCGAGCCGAACCTCATTAGCTATCGGAGGAAAAAATTGAATTTCAAATGTAGGTAAATAAAACGAGCAAGACTGGTTTTATTCTGATATTATCATATCTTTTGATAATTTAAAATATTTGTTTGGCAAAACGCAAGGCCTGGGACAAAATCGAACTATTTTCTCGAGTAATTTTCTAAAGAGCTGCATAAAGGCTTTCATTTTGCTATTATCTAGAAAACTAATAGGTTTTTCAAGAAAAATTCAATGGAATCTCGGAAAATATGTTTGAAAATGTTCATATTTCACCCAGGCTTTGGCATCTCTTTAAGCAATTCACCAAACCATCCATTTAAAAACATTTAAAAGTCAATTATTAATAACAAAAAAACTAACTCGGTTAAACACTAACACCTTCACCATTCAAAAAATACCGTATAAAGTCAGAGAAAGCTCGTTACAGTGTAGCAGCTTAAATGCAAGTGCAAAATATCGAATACGATTACAAAATACCTTTACTTGATTTACTCGCCCCGATTATCTAATTTTATTTGTTACGGTTTTACTGTTGAATTACGAAATAATCTTGTTGCGGTTCTTTCAATTTTGCATTCCTGTGCATTAAAATTAATGTGAAAAGCATTACTTAATGAATACGTACGGGCGTCCTTTCGTCTGGAGTCCCCGGCGCAGCAATCTCGTTTCTGTTCTAAAATATGCAAAAACCAAAATACGTAGAAGCAACCAGAATTATTAAAAATAATAACTTATACTGTGCAAATTAGTAAATTACTTATAAAATTGTGACGCTCAACTAGAATTTGCGGTTTTGTTTATATGCATAGCGAATAGCGATTCAACAGCGGGGTTTTTATGTACAGAGTCGGTGGCAATTATGATCGAGTGGTTACAAAAAAAAAAGAAAAGAAAAAAAACATCGTCAAAGTCTAAAAATTCGGCCCATGCAGGATGTTTATTATCCTTACGCGAGCCTTTCGTCGAGCCGATTGCCAGCGCTGCGACGGTGTCCTCTTGTGCACAGACACGTGGCGCGATAACGGCGTGTCCAAAGTTTCCAAACGACCACTCAGCCGCGTTCTTTGCTTAGCCTGCAAAGTCTAGTTAGTTAAAGCTCCTCTTTCCCTTTTATTTTTCCTCTTTTATTTCGTCTCGAGCTTTATTTAGTTTTTGAATAAGAACACGAAAAGGACATGACACATGAGAAAGAAAAAACAGTTTTTGTTAGTGAAAATAAGAGTCGCTACTTCTAAAGTTACTGACAAGATGGTATAACTTTACTTTTTCAAGTTTGATCCCTTGTGAATGACTCAAGATACCGATGATTGGGAAAAAAATATCCGTTCAATAAATCGTCAGTAAAACACGGCCAAATAAATTTGATACGCCACTTACCGGTTTGCGGAACAAAAACTTGGACTGCAGAGCGAGCACAAAGTACAGCAGAAACATCCTCAAAGAATAGGCGTAGGTGGACCAATCGGCGCTGTCGATGTAATCGACGTTCCTCGGATCGGAACAATTGGTCTGATAAACGGCCACCAGACCGAAGTACCTGGCCCAGGTGCCGTTGCTCGGCAAGTACTCCTGCGGCCATTGATTCTGATAGGACAGCAGCACTAAGATGTGCAGGGCCACCACGAACATGAGGACGCGCACGACCACGGCGAATCCTCGACGAAGCTCGCGATGGCACGCCCACCAGGTGGCCGAGCCGAGGAACACGAGGAAATAGAAGGCACCCTCGACCGACGGTTTGAGAGCCGCTGCGCAGCAGAGCACTGCCAAAACTACGTAGGTGCCGATTGTGCCGAGGAAGTTGATAATCTACTCAGCAAATGTACATCAATGACAGTTGCAAGGAGATACATTTTGTACGAAAATGACGAAGTTTACCTTGGCCGAACGCTCCTTGGAGCGCCTCTCGTACTGTTCAACGGTCGCTGTGACATTCTCATCTCCTTGGACGGGACTGAGGGTGAGCCGACGGCACAGACAATAAATCGTCAGCGTGACTGGGAACACGACGATTTCCGGTGTCAGCCAGAAAAGTATTTCCCATGCCGAGGCTTGGTTCAACCTCACCAGACCTACGTGCCTCAGAAGCGTTTCCGTGAATTCACCTGTGCGATCGAAACGAATTACAATTATAACTATCCACGCGTCCAACCGATCAGCTAGCGTGACGAATGAAATATTCCGTACAATTTTCCAGGAAATAGCCGTAAGGTGGCAGCGACGCAAGTACGATTTGAAAAGCCGCTTGAAGCATCACCAGGACGAAGCTCAATGCGATAGCGGCCTTCAGGTATCTGCCGGTGTGGCCCTTCATGGACTTGGCCGTTGGCACCGGCACCAGCGGCGACACGAGCGCCAGCCCCAGGTAGACCAGCGACAATCCCACGGGTCTCCATACCGTGCCTGTTTGCGAAAAAAAGAGAGCGAACGGAGAGAGAAAAAAAAATGGAATTAAAAGATCAGCTGGGGTGTAACCTACTTTTGCGCCGTACGTCTGTGCTAGTGCTAGGCGCACATCGTTTAATAAAGAACTTGCGCGGGCAATAACATTTTCAGGACGAGAAACGAGGTGGGAGCAAACAGCGGAACTGTTATCTATCACGAAGTAATAAAACCCGAGTCCATGACATCGAAGAGTTGAGCTTTTTTTCTTCGTTACCCGACCAGCAGCACATACACACTTGGCCGTGTGGTATGATACTGCTTTTCTCTTTGTATCCACTTCTTTCGTGAATATGTTTTTGTTTTTATATATTTTTGTTTTCGCCCGCGAGATTTTTAAAGAGCTAGCGTTTAGAATATTTCACGAAGAAGAATAAAGATGACTCGAGTTTTTCGCACTATCTAAATTTAGGCGACACGAAAAGCTCGAAAAAAATAGTTCAACAACGCTCGCCATTCGAGATTTGATATACTTACACGCTACGAGGATGGCAGGATAAATGATCCTTATGAAGGTCACGTTGAGCCAGTATCGAGTCATTTTTCTTGCGTTTGCTTATCCTATAAAGAAAGTGCAGATTTTATTTATTACTGGTTGATTGAATTTTTTGCTAATACATCGGAGAGGGCAATAAACCGAGAGGTGTAATGCGATCATCGCGTCGGCTGAGTGAAAAGTATCAGGAAGCGTGCATCAGTCTTATCGGAACGCAAAAAATAAACCCAATTTATATAAAGATATCCCCAAGCCGATGTTATCTTGACATCGGACGCGAGCATGGCATCGCGTAGAAAGCCACATAGCGTGCGTAAACATCGTTTCTGTCATTTTGGAACAGAGACAATTTTTCTGTTTATTCGTTGCAATAATGTTGACGCGTGAAATCGATTAAAAAAATTTCAGCAATATTATATCATTAATTTTTCCAAGTGAAAATGCATTAATCTTTTGTGATAATCAAGCGCCGTGTTCAACCCAGCGGCAAATCAGGTCACCTACATCTTTCAATCATCATAAGGTTGACTAAGAAAGTGTAATCGAAAATGTAACATTTCTTGATAAAAATCAAACTTTGATGGACTGCACGGTTTTATTTTTCATTGTTATTTTAAATTCGATCGAGCATTTTGGCTGTAAACAAAGTCAGGTGCATACACATTTTCTGATGTGTCACACCCCTTTCGGCGACGGATTCATTAAGTACACTAAGTGAGAGAGACACGATGCGTGATGCACGCGAGGATCGGCGTCTCGATGCGGGCGAATATATTGAAAGGGGAAAAAAGGGAGTTGATTATACTCGTCGCAACTGATGACGTTTTCGTGTCGGGTCTGCATTCGAGTCTGTTATTAAGATAATTTTTACGCGATGTTTTGATTATTTTTCATAATTAAATGGCATCGCAACGAGATTAGTTACTGCCGTAAGCTATTAAGTCTGTCGCTGTTTTGTCTACGATACCGAATCTTTTTCTCAATCTCGCTGTAGAAAATAAATAATAAATATTATTATAGCGCGAATGATTCAGAAGAATATGAACGATATTAGTCATTTTCAGCGAAAACTTCACAAAGCATATCGTTTATCATTCTACAATATATCCTGTATCGACTGAAAATCATTTCCGCAATAATTAACATTCAACAGTTGGCGCTTGCGAATCAGCAAAAGTGAAAAGACAACTTGGTCGTTGTCACCTTACTTATAGCATTGCGGCGAATCAGCGAATTCTAAGCTTTTGCAGCTCGAACGTAGTCGATTTGTTTGAAAAATCAGCGAGGAGAGCGATAAAAGCCGCGACACGCGCTCGCATGTGGCGATCGTTGAAAAGGCGAAAATATGTTGTAACATGCCTGCGCGGACACGAGCCGTCGCGTATTTTATAATGCAGCACGACGAGCTCACCGAGCAGCGGCGTCGAAAATAGCGCCCATACTAAATCAAAACAAACGTTTTTATAACTCGGGATGGTCGACACACGCGTCCATACGCACATACGACGGAAAGCATAGAGCATGTAATTGTTAAAATTTCAATTATCTAACGTTCGTTCGAACGCATGGATTTGCGCGCGTGTGTATGTGCGCGGCCGACGATTTCAACGTCCATTCGATACGAGCATGTTTGTATACGGTCATAGAATTATTCATGCGCTTATTATCGTCGAACCGAAGGCTGAAGCCAATCGTCGCTCGAGCGCGTCCAATCTTCTCTCCTTAAACATATTACACAGAACATAATTATCCATTGAAGCAGCTGCCTTTGTTAATTACGAGGGAGATAAAATTCGTACTCGATAGCGCGTTGTAATATAGGAAGGAAGTTTACACAAAATATGTAGCTATCTCTTTCGGATCGAGGCGAAATAATGCCTCGTTATCTTCTATACGCTAATGTTACGTATAAGTTTAAAAAACGTCGCGCGAACGAACGTCGATAAATCAATGGAAAATTATAAAAAGCGAAAAAAAAGGTCAATCGATGAGATCGCGCCTGTGTCGAAATCGTCGCCTCTTAATTCGGCCCACGATTAATAAACGATATCTAATATAGAGCGGCAATATGATTCACTGCTCGAACGCGGAGCCGGCCGGTTATCGTCAATCAGCTGAGCACACGATAGGTGCCTGCAGCACGTCTCAATAACACTTGGAATAATAATCACCTGCTGCTACGAGAATTTGCGCTCCTTATGTTTACATGGTCGCGATGCACCGGCAAAGCCAATGTTACACGCTAATAATTACTCACGAGAAAATAGGCACTTGACTACACACACGCACACAAGCACCAAGGCATTGTCATTCGCCTCACTTGCAGTATATATTTTCTGACGAAGCATGCAGATGATGGCTAGTATTTATAAGTATACACAGAAGCGAGATCAGTATTTATTATTTCAGATCATAACCTCTTCGCAGTGTAAATACAGACTGGAGCACGATGCGGTGCGGCGCGGGTACTAATGCACGATAACACAGCATCATGGCCACGCGCTAGCGCAAGACTGAGCCGTCAGGCTGATATAGCGTGCGTATAGGACGGTGAGCCGATTGACGGCGCACACAACAGCCAACACGCGGCGACAAATGCACGATACAGTCGTAGCTGCCGCGCACAGCCAGCGGCGCGGCACGAGTACGACGTCATTCTCGTATTATCATCATTATTATCTCGCACTCAGCTATGTAAACGGGGCTTTCGGAGCATGGTACGCGCGGGTAGTGGCAAGAATTAAGAGGTGTGGAAGAGGATCGGAGCGGGCCCTATGTCAAAGTTCAGCCGCGGATATCTTATGCCAGATCAGCGAGAGGGAGGAGAGAAAAGCAAGTCCGTGTCTCTCGATTGGAATCTCGAAGAATTAAGTGGGTTGATCTAACTTTAGACGGAAATACACGAGTCTAGATTTGTCGCTCCGTGTAATATAGCCCACACACACATAGGCTGAACGAGCAGCATTAAATACAAGCGGCTATAATTAGGCGCCGCTGCAGATTTGCGGCGAAAGCTCGTAAAAGTTTTTGTCTGGACAAAGCCGTACACCTGTTATACGCCGCGTTCGGCGCTCCAGCGTGACTCGCGTGCACTCGGATAATTTTTTCGAAAAAAAATCACCGATCGTTACGTTTAGTTACGACGAAGATAGTTTTGTGTGTCTTTTGTGCACAAGTGTCCTGGCGAGAAATTGTATAGGGAAGCCCACGCGTATATGATACATACGAGTTATTTCACGAGCTCGCCATGGAAAGAGGAAAAAAAGGCGAATTGAATAAAGCACGCGGAGCACATTATTATTTATTACGAGGTGGAACGTCCCGAATAGTCACAGGCGTGATATTTCCTTGCACTACAGCTCGTGCCTCTCCCTCGTACACCTTTTTATGCGTGTGTCGCAACACGATGAATTAATTTAGCTTTGCCTATTCCTACATAATCGTGCTGAAATTTGCATTATTTTATCAATAGCCAATGACGTAAACAAATATATGGTCATATTTTGGATCGATGAGAAAATTTATGTAGACACGAGAAGAGGTGAAAATGTCATAAAAAAATTATTGTTTCAATTAATCGCAGTAGTTAGTCTGCGAGCTGATGAACAAATCTTTCGTTGGACGATTGCAAGTTGACCTATGACACTGGTAATATACTTTCACGTTTGATGATGAGCAAAGGTTGCAACTTTATCGGCAACTGTTAAAAAGGCAAATAATGGATAAATCGCATGATACTCTTTACCGTACAAACGAATACTTTCTCTACGAATATATATATATTATGGGTAAGGCTCAGAATTTTTGAAATAATCGTACGCACGTATGTCACCACTCTAGACGCCCTTCTGTTATGTTATAGTACATGGTAAAAAGGTACCAAAACCAAAATTTAAGACCTCCTCCCCCCTCCTGCCCCCCACCCCCGCTATAAACGTCTATTTTCTATTCATATTTATTCCGAAGGTCTGAAGTAATTGAAAAATCTGAAAAAATTCATAAGAATACTTTTCACCAATCCAAACAACCTTGATTAAGAATAAATATAAATAGAAAATAGACGTTTATAGTGGGGGTGGGGTAGGAGGAGGGAGAGGGTCTAAAATTTTTGTTTTTGGTTACTTTGGATATCGGTGACATACGTGCGCACGATTATTTCAAAAATTATGAACCCTACCCATAATTATTGATTCATGTAAAAGGTCGGCTGCGCCTCTGCCCTAGGCGTATAATCTACTATTCCGATTGAGCTTAGCCGTTAGGAATGCTCAACATTATTAATGGCCTAATAATCAAAAAATGACTATTGAAAATTTTTAATTAATTGGCTTGTTTTAAGCGTATTTGAAATAACCTGAAATGTCAATAAATAAGACAATACCACTTTGAGCCTTCACCACAAGATGGCGAATACTGTCATATGTAAATCTGCAAGTGGCAAATTTAAAATAATTATATAAGTTAAGTTACAGTTATGAAAAAAAACTTCTGAACTTATAACGTTGACTTGAAACTCGTCTTAGAATTTCAAACATTTCTATCAGAGAGTCTCTATTTTTTAATATCCCTCAGATCAGATGATGCGTAAGATAATCTTCAATGTCACAGTCCATTAAACTTTTGGTAACTGCTCTGGTTTGCATATTTATTCATAAAAAACATTTTCACGCTAACTTATGTTGATTACTATTTGAGTTTGCATTACTTGCATTTTATAACATTTAAAAAGTTTTACGCACAATTTTTTAAAATATTTTTACGTATTTGAGCTTTTAATGATTTGAATTTTGCGCCTTGCGGCCATCTTGAATTCTTGCATCATCGGGTCGATCGAAGCATTGCATTCTTAGGCGCGCATCTCGTTGAGATCTCCAACCTCAAAATTCATATCTAAATTATATCCGTGTATATTAGTACACGTGCAACGCCGCAGAGTGAACGTCGCAGAGAGAAATCGACAAACACTATAGTGATTCTTGAGAATAGAGTAAATTGTATTAATTATAAGTGATCTTGTATTTTCGTGCGTGTGTGTATAAAGATGTGCGACGATGATTACAACAAATTTTTTATTGATTTTTCCAATTTCGATTGCTTCAATGAAAACTTCGATTCCGAAGCAGGCCAAGAAAAATTAGAAAGATTGAAGAGCATGCGAGAACAAGTCAATTGGAAGATTGAAAGAGAACGACATGAATTTTATAGGCAACTTTGCGGCTTAATCAGTGATTGGAAGGGCCAACTTCCAGATCTCCGAGAAATCTTTGCACGGGAAGAAATTGAGTGGTTGCTCACGAGGTCCGTGGACGTCCGTTCTACCGAGTTTATCAGGTTTGTGATAAGGACAGGATACAAAGACGAGCCCGATCTCGATGACGATGGCAAGCCACTGTTGTGTCGCGTCACACCACTACATAATGCAGTTAGATACCCCCTTAACACCAGACGTCTCGGATTCTTGGTTCGTGCGCTTTTTATAATTTATGACAGATTTGATGTCAACTACACCACCGAGTCCGGCCTGAGTCATTTTCATGTGGCCTGCATCACTGGCCTCGAACCCATAGTCAAAAAATTCTTCAAGTTCGGGCAGGACAATAAGTGCCTCGTGCAAGAAACGGGTATCTCGCCGCTACATTTGGCTGTGTGCCATGGCCACAAGAAGGTAGCCAGATGGCTGTTGAGCTGTGTCAACGAGACGGGATCGACTTCTTTGCATCTTCCTTGCCATAGGCCCGATAACGACTCGGCGAATGCGTTATTAGAGTCGAGTTACAAAAAATATCAGCTGGTGCACATCAATGCTCAAGACAAATCGGGTCGAACCCCATTGCACTGGGCTCTGCACAAAGACGCTAAAAATATGGTCGAATGGTTGCTTAGAAAAGGCGCCGATCCGAATTTGCCCGATAAGAATGGATCGACTCCTCTTCACGTGATATGTAAAAGAATTTGTTTCATGTGGTCGATGACAGACATAAAAAATTATGACTGGGTGGAAAATACGGTACAAAGTGGGATTCGGTGGAAAATATCGCGAGAAGAAGTGGAACATGATAAAATAATGGAGTTATTTTTACAAAAAATCGACGAAATGCAGCTGACAGTAAAATTGGATGCCGTGGACCACAAGGGTAGTACACCAATATATTATGCTCTTAGATTTGGTAAACATCGAATTGTTGAGGTGCTATTACGAAGAGGCGTGGATGTGAATTTAGCCAACGAAGAAGGATTGACACCTTTGCACCTCATTTGTAGTTTCAATGTCCACTTTCTGGAGACATTGTTCCAGATCAACGACGAGATTCAGCAGACGGTGCAGGTCAATGCCGTGGACAACAATGGTAAAACACCATTACATTATGCTGTGATCAGAGGTAGCAAACAAATTGCCGAAGCACTGCTGAGAAGAGGCGCGGATCCGACTTTGGTTACCGCAAATGGCTCGTCACTTCTACACTTTTTTTGTCAGAGCCGATACAACGCTGAATTGGAGGAATTACTCTTCAACGATGATAAGCAGCAAATGGTACAGATCGATGCAAAGGACAAGTTGGGTAATACGCCATTGCACTTGGCTGCAGCCAACTTCGAAGATACGCGACAAATCGAATATCTGCTGAGAAGGGGCGCCAATCCGAACATAGCTAACGCAGAGGGATTGACCCCGCTGCATATTATTTGTTGCGGAAAGTTGGATGATGACAGAATAAAGTTATTTTTCAAAATTACCGACGATATCCAGCAGGTGGTGCAGGTCGATGCCCGAGATAAGTTGGGCCGTACACCACTTCAATGCGCTGTGGCGAGCCTTTGGCCGAATACTGTTCAAGTTCTCTTGGATCGTGGTGCTGATCTGTCTATCTTCGTTTTTCCCACTATGGAGCATTTTGACGAGACATTTTGCAAAGAATATTCCTACAATGATAAATTGAAATTAGCATCTGGTGCTCTAGCAGTCGTGGAATGTCTTGAGAATGGAGGATATGATCTGAAACGTAGCGACACCTTGCCAATCATTGAATTTTTCATCAAGTACGAATTGTTCGAAAATTCGTCGGATCTTGAAAAATCTTTTTACAGTGAAGAAGAGTTCACGAGCGCAGCAAAAGAAATAACGATCATTCCTAATTTGTCGCTTTACGATTTAGTGCAGTTACGGCCCGAAGAGGAGGAAAAACTGCTCACATACATGGATTACTTCAAGATCGAGTCATATCACTACTGGAATCTAATCCGCATAAATTATTGGTATATGTGCGTGGGGCACCTATGTGAAAAAATGTCGAGAGGATATTTTCAAAGGTTAGCACTGGATCCTTTACGGGAGTTGACGCGTGACCGGTTCCCAATTCTCTGCTACGAAGAAATCATCCAGAAGCTGAAGAACGAGGATTTGTTAAGAATATGCCAGGCAGCAGAAATCCTGGCAAAAGAAAAGGAAGCCAAAACATGTGAAACCGTTTACAAAGGTATTTTATTTTTTTTTTCATGAATATTTTTACCCTTTAAATAATAATTTTGATAATTTTTCTGAACTTATCGTTTCTTTTTTTCAGGCGAAGAAATTGAGAAACCATAAATTTGTCACCTCTATGTCCAATTGTGAACTATTTTTTTACTGTGCAAGATTTACATTATAAAACAATGTAACATTTGAAGGCATAGAAATAAAATTAATAAAGTTAATTATATAATTGATAGTATATAGCAATAAATTAATAAATAGGATTTAAGTTATATTTAAAAAAAATCAACCCAGGTTATTGATGCATTTGCGAATGTGAAAAAATTCGTGATTCCATCAGTCAGCTCGTGCGGGTATTATGATCGAATCATGTAATATAGACTGGGACGTTTTAGATTAAGTTTTTTTGTATCACCAAGGCTCACAGCCAAGACGGAAGTTGTAGTCGTTACTGAAAAAAACCGTCTCACGACGTCAAAAAAGGGACGGAAACAGTAGTGGCTCGATTTTAGGGGAAAGATAAGTTTCTGTCATAAAAAAAAACTCGGTCCAAAGCTTTTTTTGTGAATTTTTATTGGTCTTTCTCCCATTTCTGTGGTCAAATATTTTAAAAACTCAATTTAAACCGTTACGAAAAAATCAGGGAAGTATTTTTTAACCTTGTCCTCGTGGGTCCTCTTGAATAGTCTGAAAACTATCTCCATGTAAAATTAGAATCTGTATACGAATCTGCACGGCGCTGGATACTTAATTAATGATTGAATATAAAATTGATCAAAAAAATAAAAAACGAACGTTTTTCCTCTTTTAAAAGATTTTTCTCTTGACGTAATTTTTTGAAATGAACAATGTAAGTTAGTAATGTCAGTTATTTGCCACGAAAAACGATTCAAACAAAAAAGTCGTCAAATAACTAAAATTTCAGCTAGTAAAGAACAAAGTGGTCTATGCAATTGATTTTCTACAAAATCGACTCTTTATTAAAATTCTCGACAATAATATAGTGGACATGATACAGTGCGCAACCGTAATTTCTTCGATCAAATAATCGGTAAAATCGATCGCTTTTTCCTCGAACCGACTCAACAATCCAGCTGCTTCATCATCCAGTGGAAAAATCCGAGAACTGCGAAGCTGAAGCTCAGCGGGATGCAAGCGGCCTTCGTCCACGCCCAGAGACTATAAAAATTATCGTAAAAAAGAAAGAAATAAACATGAGTTTCGGCGAGTCTAAATTCATTTTCTCGTATAAACTAGCCAAGTTGGTTGGACGATTGGGACACAAAACAATTGGCTATGGAGTATCGTGGGTGCGTTTGCGTGCGTATAATATTTGCAAAGCGATATCGGCATGTATCCCTACGCGCAAGCTATAAAAGTGAAATATTTACTCGTAAGGATTATCGGATACAGTGTATGGCGAATAAGTAGGAAGAATTCCGCATTCCTGTATGACGACCGGCAGAATGGGATGATCGTCCACGTCCGTCCTCGTGTTCTCTATCTTGAAGACCACGTCCATGCCGTCTACGACCTGAGCCAGAAAAGTAAAAAGAGACATTGACTCGACGATGAAAAAGTAAAATTTGCCGGAACGAGAGCCGAGAGCTGTGCTCGTTATACCTTGCCGAAAACGGTGTGCTGGCCGTCCAGCCAAGGAGTCGCGATCGTCGTGATGAAGAATTGACATCCGTTCGTGTCCTTGCCCGCGTTTGCCATGCTGACCATGCCGGGGCCCACGTGATCGAATTTGAAGTTCTCGTTGTCGAAGTACTTGCCGTAAATACTGATGGAACCGCTGCCGTCGTTTTTCTCTATGTCTCCGCCTGCGTCGACAAACATGCACGAAAGATGCGTGAAAGTCAATCATAGCTATAGCTCTCTCACAGCGATATAAAATTCATTTGTCGCGAACCTTGAACCATGAACTTTTTGATAACCCGATGAAACTTGGAGCCAGCGTAAGTTTTGCCCTCGATCCCTTCGCTCGCCAGGGTCATGAAGTTTTTCACGGTTTTCGGCGTGTCCTCGCCAAACAAGCCGATGACCATCCGGCCGGCCGGATTGTCGCCGATCATTATGTCGAAGTAGACCTGATCGGTTATCGTGAAACGAGTGGCCTGAAAGAAAAGCAGAACCGTATCGTATTTTGCAGCCTGTATATAGGTAATACCTCAGCGAGAGAGAAGAGCGACGAACTAATACAATCAGAAGGCGAAGCCCCACGAGCGCACCTCACCGAGTATATCGACAAAGCCCCCTCTGTAAGTACGCGTACGTGTGTGACTTTGCCCTATTATAGGGCAAATCGTCGAGAAGGAAAGAAATATTTTCCGCAAAGTTTTTGCTTTTGTTTTGCACTTGGTTTGTGTTTATTCATCTCGATGGTTGTTGTTGTTGCCGTTGTCACCGCGCGCAAACCGGAAGTCAACTCGTGCCCACAGATAAAGAGCATAGCAACACAATTTGAGTCATACTACATATAGCGTCGACTCGTTTTAATCTGAACGCGCGTCATTATATCAATGACACGCTGCTGGCTCGATCGAATGGGCGAAAAGCAACGGTCTCTCTTTCTCACTCTCTCACGGTCAATTTCATGTAACCAGTGCAAAATTGAGAGTACCTGCGCGTAATCAGTCGTGATTAAGAGAGCAATAGCAGCCACGGCGACCAGAGGACTCATGATAAACACCAATTGCAGCGCAGCGACTGCTTCGTATATATACTTGTGCTCGCTCCTCGACAAGAGCGAGAGAAAAAACGAAAGGCGAGTCGTCGTCGGCTTACACGGAGACGCGCGCGCCTGGCCCCCTGCAGGACTGTCGGTACGCGCGAGCGAGCCTATGTATACACGAGTCGAGGAAATTATGCGCGCGAATGGAGAAAGAATTAATTGCACTCGCGCGTGGCCGATTCCGACTGCATACGCAAATGGACTGTGCTCGCGCTGCTTCGTATGCGAACTGCGCCGTGTGGTACGCGGCTCGGCCGATTTACACGCTGCTCATTGTGTATATGTATGTAGTAAATAGTTGAACGAATTATGCGCGAGACATGCGCGCGTCGCTTTTCTTTTTTTTTCCCGCGCGATCTCCGGTACACCCGCATTTGAACGGCGAAATGGGATTTTTCATAGCCGAAAATTGCAATCGTTGTTTTTTGAGCGCACGCATATATTATATAGGTTCATTTGGCCTGCGTTGGTGATGCGCGAATCCGCAGAGCTGCGTTCGAGTTCTTTGAACCCGCGGGTTTTCGCACCGTTATCATACAAACGCGTCCCTCCCACTCGCGCGTCACCCTCTCGCGAGCCGATGTACGACCGACCAAACCAGCTTCGAGCTCGTCTTCTTTTTTATTTCTCTTTCTCCTCGAATAAGTTATGCCCGGCCAATACAATGTACACGTAATATATACTCGCATTAATATATCGGTTGAAAGACGAGAATAAGATACACCAACTCCCTCTCGGCTCGTGCTGTGCGTGTGCGTTCTCTCTCTCGCTCGTTGGCCGTGTCCCGTTATCCAAAGGAGGCACGTTCATAAAAGCCGCGCGTCTCGCCAAAGTCGAGGTCAGTCCGTGTCTCGGCAATCATGATGCTGGTGCCGAAAGCGCCTCGCGGGCCTCCGCTTCTGACTGTGCTCGTGCTCGTGGCCTCGCTGGCCGCTGCGGCCCGGGCCTCGTCCCTCCCGCTCGCCGATCGCCAAAGGAGCTACGAGTCCGAGGAGGAGCTGGAGGACCGCGACGACAGCGGCAACGAGGACACCTACTACGTCGGCGCCGCCAAGCAGTTCAATCTCATACCCGAGGAGCGGGTGACGTACGACGGCGCCCAGATCTGGAGGATCGCCGCCGACTCCGGCAAGGACGAGTTCCTCGACTATCTGCAGGACAGAGGAGGTTCGTAATGCGCTGTCGCACAAATTAGCTTCGGCTGTTCGCGTGAAATTCAAGTTGCACGACGACTCTCGTTGGCAGATCTGTCGCTGTGGAGCGGCAACCGATCGCTCATCGACGTCCTCGTGCTGCCGGACGTCATCCCGCGAGTCTCGCGCTTCCTGCGCCAGAGAAACATCGACTACGACGTCGTGATAACCGACCTGCAGCTGGCCATAAACCAGGAGAATCCCGTCAGGACGCCCGAGGAGATCGACGAGCTCGTCGGCAGAAACGGTGAGATTTCCCCTTTCGATCCTATTAGATATATGTAGTGCCAATTAGATATTAGCTCGAGGTGTCGGCCGTACGAGTGAAAGCTTGTGCTGTACTACCAAACGCTGTAGACGCGCACCTACATTATATTGTATATCCTTGGTTCTCTTTGTCGCGCTGAGAATACCAATCGCACTGATTCGGTATTCTGCTCAGGCCTTTATATCGGCCGAGTTTGAATGCGCTGGGTATTATATGTATACAGACCAAGTAACCCAATTATGATTCACGATCCAGCATTAACCGAGAGAATCAAGTGCAGTGCCAGACGCGTGTGCGTTCGACGACTGCGAAACAAAAGAAAAACAAGCAAAACAACAAATAAAAACAACATATAACGTCACGAGCGAAGAGACAATGGCAAATCTGATTAGTAGTAATGTTTTAGCTCGCTATGCTTGGTGGAAGGAGTCTATTGCGTCTGGGATGCAAAAAAAATCTCTTCCTTTCTATCTCCGCACTGTCCGCTATTCTTCTTCCGCTAATTATGTAGATGCCGCTGCTGCTGCTGCTGCTTCTAGCGGGCCAAAAGTTCGCCAATCCTGGCCGTGGAAGGGTGAGCTTTTTGCTTTAGCGAGGGCTTGAATTGGCGACTCGGCAAAACAATTTTACAAAATTGAAAAAACAAAAAACAAAAAAAGGCAACGATGTAAGCGCTCGGAGCCATCGGGATTGACTTGGCTTTTGTTCGAAGGACACCGTATGGAGTGGGACAGCTACCACAGGCTCGAGGATATCCACGAGTACATGGATTACCTGGCCAATACCTATCCACAGGTCTGCTCGGTCATGTCGATCGGAAAATCCGTTCAAGGTCGAGATCTAAAAGTAAGCCTAGTTGTTTTACACTCGCGTGTACTGCATAATATTATGAACGTAATCCGACTATTATCTATCTATTCTATATTATAAAAAAAAAAAAAAAAAAAAACAGGTAATACGCATAAGCCGCGGCTTGTCGAACGCACCGGCCCTCTGGATCGACGGTGGTATCCACGCGCGCGAGTGGATTTCACCGGCCGCCGTGACTTATCTAATCGATTACCTGGTCGAGCACAGCGATCAGCTGCAGGAGGACTATTACATTCTGCCGGTGGTCAATCCTGACGGGTGAGTTTTTTGTCTCGTGCTTCGCACGGCTGCTCTCGATCTCGTTGACAACTTTTTCTCTCGCGCGTCACATCGCACGCGTATTGCGTACGTGTGTGTGTGTGTGTGTGTGTCTTAATATATTATCGAGCGAACCGATATGTCGTTTGGGCCGCAGATACGAGTACACCTTCCGCGGCGACCGACTCTGGCGCAAGAACCGGGCCAATCCGCAGAAGGGCGGCTCCTGCATCGGCGTCGATCTCAATCGCAACTTCGGCTATCGCTGGGGCGGCATGGGCACCAGCAAGCAGCCCTGCCGCGAGATTTACGCGGGCTCCGGCGCCTTCTCCGAGCCCGAGACTCGCGCCATCAAAGACTTCTTCCAGACGAGCGCCGCCAATTTCCAGGTTCGTATGCAAATATTGTGAAATTCTTATCGGCTCTCGTTGTTTAGCAAACATTGGCCCGGCGTCGATTCCTAGTTGCGATAAGCCTTATCGTCGACGCGCGCGGCCCGAACTAGGTCGATTCGAGTATCAAGCTCTACAAATCGATTCGCGTCTCATGCATGCGTCGATGATTGCGTTGCGCAGGCCTACCTGACGTTCCACAGCTACGGCCAGTACATCCTGTACCCGTGGGGCTACGACAGGCGGGTGCCGCCGGACTACAAGGAGCTCGAGGCCGTGGGCCGGCGCATGGCCGAGGCGATGAGGCTCGCCGGGGGCGCCAACAGCCACTACACCGTCGGCAACAGCGCCACGACTCTGTACGCTGCGGCCGGCGGCGCCGACGACTGGGCCAAAGCCAACCAGAAGATCAAGTACACGTACACGGTGGAGCTGCGCGACCGAGGCCAGAACGGCTTCGTGCTGCCGGCCAAGTACATCAAGCCCACGGCCGAGGAGGCGATCGCCGCCGTCCAGGTCGTCGCCAAGGCCATTCGCGGCGCCTCCTCGTGATTCCGTTCGCGCCAACTATATGATATGCATATTTATACGCTCGCGACCAAGTGCCTATATTTACAATGCTATTTAGTCCAATAAGTATATGTGTAAGAGAGTGACTGTGCCGGGAGAAAGGATTTCTTTTATCCTATATATATGCTGTGATTTCACCTGCTTACCGTAATTCTCATTCCGTATCACGATGACTGCTTTTTTTCATTGCCCATTATACTTACGTCGTAAGATAAATAAAGCTCATAACGTCATTAGAATGTAACAAAAATTGCGTTTTTTTTTTAATACCAAATTAACTTACATACTATTTACATATCATCACATAAAGAATTCATACGAAATACGGTTAGTCCGCCGCTCGTCAATGATTCAACATTATTCGATGGATCCAGGAAACGAAGGAGGACACTCTGGTGTAGACCGACGGGGCATTTCTACCGCCGCAGGGGAAGATGCCCCAGGAGACGACGCCAATCACCTCGACCATGTCGAAGGAGTTTTTCACCACTAATGGACCACCCGAGTCACCCTGGAATAGCAAACGAACAAAAAAAAAAGGATAATTTTCCGTCATTGCGCAAATAGATATATGTGACAAGCGAGTGAAATCACGTTCGACGACTTTTGTTCACGCGCTAACGCTGCCTTTTTGTTCGTCCGCGTCGGGCAATTTTGACTATAAACGGACAAATCCAATGACGCGGCAAGTACAACTGCGTTACATAAAATCGAACGCAGCGCGATTTCTCGCGCCAACACGATTTAGCGCGAATTCGTTTTATTTTTTTCCTCTCTATTTTATTGGGCCCGAATAAAGCACGCAATGGCAGTGCGCGTGCAAGTACACGTTTTAACGGTACCTTGCAGGCCGAGGCGGAGCCGTCGAGCGGCCCCGTGCAGATGTTGGTCTCGTGCAGCGGATTGCGGCCCTCCTTGTTGAGCTTCTCGTCGAGGGCGGCCTTGCACTCCTCGTAGTCGAGAAGCGGCAGCGAGGCCGCCTGCAGCACCTCGGGGCTCTCGGGCTGTCGCGTTCGACCGATGCTGCCCCAGCCCGTGAGTATGGCCTCGCCCTCGTGGTGCTGGTCCGGGTAGGGCAGCGACGCCGTCGAGATGTACTCGTTCAGCTCGAATGGCTCCTCGAGCTTCATCAGGGCTATGTCGTAGGGTCCGACCGATCTGCAGAATGGAATCGCGCCAATCGGTATTCGATATATATGTGAGGTGTTTCAACGACTTACCCGCCGTAGTCCGGATAGACGAAGGTCTCGGAGACGACTCGGCGCTGCTCGGTGTCCTCCTCCTCGCCGAGCTCGTGCTTTCCGGCCAGCACGAGGTACTGACCGCCCGGCCGCTTCGGCGAGAGAGTCTGGCAGTGTCCCGCGGTGAGGACCCATCCGGCGGTCAGAAGGGTGCCACCGCACACGTGCCGAGGCTTGATGTTGCGCTTCTTGTTGAACCAATGCAGCGACACCTGCCACGGATGTCGGCCCCTCTCGGCGTCCTCGCCGCCGACTATGCGAGTCGGTCGCTCGGCCAGCGAGGCTATCTCCTCGGAGCTCGTTTCCACCTCGAGCGCTGAAGGATCGCCGCGAATGAAAACCATTTGTAATTAAGCTGTCTGTCTTGTCTTTCGGGTCAAGTTCGTAACGTTGAGCCGTAGCGCGCGAGTCGTTAACGTTTTATGCATTTCACGGAGTTACGTTCGTTTTCGCGTCACACAAGAATGAGCGAGTTTCGGAACCGAATTCCTTTCCGCCAGTTGCATTTCACAATTTTTATTTCACACATTTTCAACTCTTTTTTTCGCGTTTAATACTCATTGTTTCATGATATTTTTCACTCTGATTAATTTAAATTTCCCCGTATACTGTTACTAATGATACTCAACGAGATAAATGTCAAATAAACTTACCGTTAATTAAGGATGCGAGCGAGGTCGCTAAGCAGAAGCCAAAAAGAAGCAGCTTCAACATTTCCATTGTTCCGGCGAAAAGGCACAAAAAACAAACAAAGCTAACGATCAAAGAGAGAAGAAAAGTCGAAGCGATCGCTCCACAAACGCAACGGACAGCTCAATCGACTCGATTGCCTGAACAGAGAGAAAAAATCCGTGTCTTCTGGACCCGACTCTCTTGCACTCCGATACGTATCTGTTCGGGAGACTCGGCCTCGCAGCTATACGAGATCGACTTTTAGACTAGACAAGGGAGAGAGAGAGAGAGTGATCGGCGACAAATCGTTAAGCAACTTATACGTATATCCAATTCTTACACGAACGACGGAAGTCATATTCGACACTACTTTGTACGTAAAAGGCCTAGTGACAGTAAACGCCTTTTGCTCCGTTTTTTCGCGCTCACACAATTTGTAATGTACAAATCGCACGCCGTACCTGCCTTTCGTCACGAGCTCGCGACATGTATACAACTCATACTACATACTGCTGCTGCTGCTGCTGCTGCTGCTACCTTTGTCTATCGAGAAGGCAAGCGCTTGTGTATCGTGGAAATAATTAAATGATATCGTTGCGAGTTGGATCAGTTTCAAGACATTTATTGTGGTAAAAAAAATTAGTTTTTCGATGATAATTGAATTAGCTCTCGCCGATGACCGACTTGATCCAGTCGATGTGGGCCGAAGTTCTGGTATAGACGGAGGGCGCGCCCTCGGAACCGCAGGGAATGAAGCCCCACGAGACGATACCGATCACTTCGGGCTTGGCGTCCTTGCCGATCTTTATCAGTGGACCGCCGGAGTCACCCTGAAAACAGCGCAGCAACGCGTCAAAATGATATCAACCATCTCTGCGTTCGTGCGCGCAGCGTCGAAAAGTCTCGAGGATACTCACGCTGCAAGCCGAAACTCCGCCGGTTAGGGGCCCGGTGCACACGTTGGTCTCGTGCAGAGGAGAGTTGCCCGGCTCCATCGTTTGAATCGCCTTTTCGCAAGATTCCAAATCGACAACGGGTAGGACTGCCTTTTGTAATTTGTCCGGCATGACCGGGAACTGCGAGGTGGAGGTCGAGCCCCAACCCGACAGCGTCACCTCTCCCTCGGGGTAGACGTCGGCTTTCGGAAGTGCGATCGGCTGCACCTTCTCGTTGAACTTGAGCGGAGTGGACAGCTTCAGCAGAGCGATATCGTACGGCGCCACGTTTCTGTGCAAGGATAACGAGGCCAAAAAATTTAGTCGTCCACGGCTAATACGGTTTGCGAGTAAAATTCAAACTCACCCAGGATACTTGGGATGTATGTAGCTCTTCTTCACGACGGACTTCTGCTCGGTGGCCTCCCGAGAACCGATGAGGTATTTGCCGGCTACCACGTACAGATTGCCGAAAGGCACGCCCTTGGGGCAGTGGGCCGCCGTCAGGATCCAGCTCTCGCTGATGATGCTACCGCCGCACATGTGCGACAGAGGCAGTATCGGCGGCAGGCCCCACTGCAACGAGACCTGGTGAGGAAACTCTCCCGGCGACGCGTCGTTACCGCCGACGATGCGGCTGGGATTGCTGCCCGCGGGATTCCACCTCGGCAGGCGCAAGCCGATCCGCGGAGTGGCTGCACAAGCAAGCGGCCAATCGTTAATTCCGATTCAGCTCGCAATTTTTTTTTATGATATATGTGTTTGTAATATGACGAACTCACTTGCGAGGGCCGCGGCCACGATGCAACTGAACCAGAAGAGTTTTGTAAACATTTTGTTGAATGTTCTCTAGTCTCGAATAGCTGGCACTATTTATACCAGCGACAGTTGCGACGCGAATCTCAATGAACAATCTGCATAGATTACGCGGGATAACGGCCCGAAGGCATTGATAAAAACGCTCGTGTGCGCATTATGTAGGAAGCAGCTCGAGGCTCGCGCTCTTATCGCGCAACGTGCGAACCGCATCTCTCGGTGCATGTACGCCATTTGATGGATCGGCGGGATTAAATGGCATTTCTCGGGTCACTTGGATCCGTTCCGCAATGCATCTCGAGGCATTTCACGCGATTGACATTTTTTGCGTCATCCCAAAGTCCTGACTTGCCAATTTTATTTATATTATTTTATCGCCTGTAAACAAATGCTCCTCGACTATCATTCAATTGCGCGTAGTTTTTATTTTACATGAAATAGAGCCAAGTAGAAAGAAAACTACTAATAAAATATCATTTTCAATAATCTTACTCAACGCGAATTAACTAGGTTAGTAAACTAATATGTCATAGGCAAGGATAATCTAGTTACGTTGATTAATATCTAACTGCAATATTTACTCATATGAATTGTCGAGACGATCAGATTCTATACACTCAATAGGATGATTGTTATTTTTAAATATCATGAGTAGTTAAGATTTCAAAAATTTTTAGTGTACGAAGTCGTTGAAAAGTGTTGAAAATAAGATTGCCATTATACTTTCATGGACGGTTATAAACAGTGTTAATATTTGCGCATGCAGTTTCAAGTACAGCGGAAATATTTTTGTTTTCGTGATGCGGGATCTTTCTTTTCACGAAAGCTTGAGCGGTATAGTATTAATATAGTATTCCATTATTGTTTTTTAATTATGAAAATTATTATTTACACAAAGTTTTTCACAATTGACATTTTTGTAACAAATCTAATAGTTATAAATATTGATTAGATTTAATTCATCCATTGATATAAATCTTATGCAATGTGCGCATTAAAACATTTTTGATACAGCAGTCAACGAGAAAGATTAGTTAGTGTAATTTCAGTAATCTAGCTTACGGATCTAATGACACTGATTCGATCAGTGCAAACGTTTTCAATGTGAACTTGAAGACTGATTGTTTATTTGACTCATACGTATTTTACGTGTCATTACTAATTCGAACCGATTTTTGTTATTAAACAAATCGAATTTTGACAAGCTAACAATCATATTTCATTGTTTTTCACGCAAAATAACCACATGATCAATTTGTAATGTTACAATTACTTTATCAAAAATCAATAGTACAATATATTTTAAAAACTTAAATATACTATTTTTAATAAAATATTTTTAATGAAAATTTTTATGTACACTAATATAAATTAAGTAACTAAAGTAAATCAATTGAGTTTTTTCTAATTATTCTGAATGATAGACTGAATCCAATCATTGAAGGCCGACACTCTCACAAATACAGCCGGAGCTCCTGGAGATCCGCAAGGCACTACACCCCACGAGACAACTCCGATCAGTTCACTTGGCCCATGCTCGTGGTGCAATATCAAAGGACCACCAGAATCTCCCTAAAAATAATGTCAAAAAATTATTATGCGCTGTAAAAAATTAAAAAGTTGTTTTAACTTACGCTGCAAGAGGAGTGCCCTCCACTCAATGGCCCGGTGCAAACATTCGTATCATGAACTTCAGCCACTTGACCCACTAGTCTCATCGCCTTCCTGCACGTCTCAATATCCAGCAAGGGCAGATTGACCTTTTGCAAATGATTCGGTAGATTGGGTGTAGACGTTTTTGAAGTTGAGCCCCAACCAGACAGGGTAGCAACTCCTTCAGGAATAGCGTTGGCTTTTGGCAGACCAATAGGCTGCACCATTTTACTGAATACCAAGGGTTTGGCTAACTTCAATAATGCTATATCGAATGGTGCTACGTCACTGAAATTTTTTCCATTTATTAATAAAGATAATTACGAGCAATAGTAGTAGGGGAATCTAGGGTAATTGTGATACTGCCGGAACTATTTTGTATAAATTTGATTTTGATTGTAATTTTTGAACAATTTTCAATAATACGTGATATGACTCTCAACAAAAACAATATTACAATTATTAGAGTTTAATTTCCTTGGTAGAAATGTTCAATATTTGGTGGCTAGTTTATAGGTACCAAAAGTTCTCTCGGACTTAAAAGAGCAACCAGAACTGAACATGCAATAGCCAACAGTATTAATTTTTTCAACATTTTATGTCCATGTAAGGATTCAAATATTTAAAATGGCCATTTTTGATTTATGTAGAATTCATACTTAGAGCATTTATAAAAAAAGTTATTAACGTTCACCATAAAAATTGTTCAGAATTCATACTTTGACTTACACAATTATTTTAACTTTGTTACTTTCAGATTTACAAATAAAAGCACTAGCCGTCTAGTGATATAGGCTTAAAGTAGTATAATGATATTTAAAGTGATTGAAAGCTGATCTACATTTTTTGGAAGAGTAAATTGTCATTTTCAGGTTATTTAAAGTACGCTTAATATTTTATAACATGACTGTAACATACAAATTACCAAAAACAAGCCAACTAATGATTACGTATTTTAAAACATTTTAAATGGATATTTTTGGTCACTAGGCCATTATCAATTTTGTACATTTCTAGCACGGGTTGAATGAGCCTACTATAAAATTAAAGTAATCTCCGTACGAATTTTTCTTACTTTATCAATTCCGCGAAAAAAAACAACCATAGAGTTTGACGAGTACTTTTAGAGGAGAAAGTAACGCGGCTGCCAGTCGTAGGATAAATGTTCGAGGACCAACAGCTAATAATTTTTTAGTTAAACATACCCTTTGTAATTTCGATTTATGAATATTGATGCCACATTAGCAGTTTGTTCCGAAGGCTCATTATCGTGGATGTGAAGTTTTCCAGCTTTCACGATGAGGTACATTTGATCGGGTAAATGTTTCACGCAATGCCCTGCCGTTAAAATCCACTGCTCGTCGAGGATCGAGCCCCCGCACATGTGCTGGTACGGCATGATCGGCGGCCGTCCTAGTTGCAAGCTAACTTGATGGGGAAATTCACCCGATCTTGCCGGGTGTCCACCAACTATTCTATTGATTTTCAGTGGATCGATGATGAGTTCGGCATCGATTTGTGGACTTTTCGTTTCCTCTATTTATGCAAAAATTAGAAAATCCATTTAAAAATTAACTTGATTATTTTAATTAAAGCGAACGATGCCCGACACTTACCGGCAAAAGTAATTGCCAAGAGGCAACACAGAACTACAATGTGACTTTCCATTTTGTTCATTAACTACTGAGACACTAAATTTTTATTCTCAATTTATATAGTTTATGAAAAACACTCTTACACGAGCAAGATTGAAAACATTTATATTGCGTAAACAATTTTTTTCCAATGAAAAATTTTCTCGTGAAATTCAGATAAGATTGATTCACTAGAATTATATATTGTCAAAACTTTTTGTTATTTATTTGTTAAAAAAATTAGTAGAATACGAGTGTAAAAGTAATCAATAATTGAAATCAATTTTACTTTTTAATTTTTATAAATTCAGCTTGATTGCAATAAATCCTAATTATTGCATAACATGAATAGTTGAAGTTTCAATATTTGCATGACTTCAATCACTTTTAAGTTGTTACGATAAATTATATCTACAATTTTTATCACTAAATGAATGGTCAATTGCATTTCTAAGAAAGAACGATAAAACAAATTTCTTTTATAGTTGATAAATAATCTTTATTAACGTTTACGTGCCGATGAATGAGGTGAAATTATTTAAACATTGATGCGCGAATGGAATGTACACTACACGTCGATTTTTATACGTAATTAGCGTATTTAGCGATGTTCTCATTGATCCAATCAACGAAGTCGGCAACTTTCACGAATACCGACGGTGCACCGTAGCCTCCGCAAGGCACGAATCCCCAGGAAACGACGCCGACGACTTCGGCGTGTCCGTTTTGTCTCGATATTAAGGGGCCGCCGGAATCTCCCTAAAAGTCAACAATCTCGTTAATCACCAGAACTAAATCATTCGAATATACAGAAGATGTGGGAGTAAACTCACTCTGCAGGCGCCAGCACCACCGCCAAGTGGGCCAGTGCAAACGTTGGTCGTGTGTAGCGGCGATCGAGCACCTCTGGACATTGCGTTTATGGCCCTAGCGCAAGTTTGGATGTCGAGCACTGGAAGCTTGACGTACTGGAGAATAGCGGGTAGGATCGTCTGTTGCGTCCTCGAGGTTGAGCCCCAACCCGAAAGTTCGACTTCGCCAGATGGCTCGACTCCTGCTTTTGGCAGAGCAATGGGAGCGACGCAGTTGTTGAATTGGAGTGGCGATTCCAAAAACAGCAGGGAAATGTCGTACGGAGCCACACCACTGTAGAACACGGAAAGTTCGATTTTGAAATGTGCTATCTTTTTTCCGTACAAAAAAATGTGTGTGATAGAATGATTAATCTTACCCTTGGTAAAGCTCGTGAGTGACCATAAGCTTGACTCTGACGGTCTGCTCATTGGACTCATGGGCGAGCACATTATTCTTGCCAGCTTTAACGACGAAAACACCGCCTTGAGGTGGTAGAGCGGCAACGCAATGACCAGCAGTCAAAACTACTCGTTCACTGAGGATCGTGCCACCGCAAAAGTGACTCAACTGATAAGGATTGGGTCCGAACTGAAGAGACACTTGGTGAGGAAACTGTCCGACTCTGGCGTTTGCACCACCCACTACACGAGTTTGAGCCTGTCGCGGAGCGTTGAGATCGATGGAGGCACTCCATATCGGCTCTTTGGGAGTCGCTAAGGGTCCTGAAAATCCAAACGAAATGTCAAAACTTCTCTGTGGATGATGCCTCGATCACCCGAGTCGACCAACACTAACCTGCACTGGCCAAAGCCAATAGACAGCTGAGAACGAGTACGTAGGTAGACATCTTGATCAATGTTTAACAGTGCAACTGGAATCAATTTATATATGCGGCTTGTTTGTAAAAAGTTGTAGATAATCAAGGGAAAAAGTCGAGTATCGTAATCTTGTAAAAATTCACTCTTTCTTTGATAAAACTCACGATTCAATTAATCGACATAATCAATGCCTTTCATCTAATCAATCGTAAAAAAAGAATTGGGAAGTACATTGGTACCACCGGCTAGCTCCATTGTATTATACAACTGTGTATTGATATAATTCAGGGAAATTTTTTCGATTACTTTCATCATTGTTTTCATAAAAGAGAAATAAATATTTATAATATCGTATCTAGAGATGGCGGATTTAATCATTTGTATTAGTTTCTTTCTGTTTGTCAACACATTGTAAAACCGCAAATATTTTGATTACTATCGAATGTTGTTGTCTACATCAATATTTTCATGTAGCAAAATAGTCTTTTTATCGTTCTACGTCACACTTATGCATTGCTTGAAATTTTTTTCATTTAGGGTAAACCAGTTTGTAAATGACCACTGCCCAAAGTATGACTAATTTATGAATAATTTTCATGAGTAATTTCATGAAGAAAAATACAATGAGTGAGCTAGCCCCTTTACTGATTTTGTCTAATGGCTACATGGCTAAAAACTATCATGAAAACTACTATTCAATGTTCAACACTATTTTTATTTACGTAATTATACGAAAATATTGAGATTTGTGTAGGATTAGTATTCATTTATAACTAGTTAAACTATCTAAACTTTAAAAGATTAGTGCATGTACCATTCACGTGAGAAATTTACATAATTCAATCGTGTAATTTTGCTCCAATTTAATGTCAAGTGCTGTAAGTTTTTTTATTGATCGTAGATCGGCCATCTATCTGTTTAAAAACACAAGAATTTCAAAATAATATTCACCTGATCAACGATCATCTCATCGTCATCGTTCATTATCATTATAGTTTAGTCTATTGTTTTTCTATATCTAGTTTTTTTATATGTACTCGAAACGAAAAAAATGTCAACATTTTGTTTTTTTTTAAATTTGCTGTAATTGAAAAAGACACGATCGAATACGAAGCGCTGATAATTACTTTTTTAATTTGTTGAAGATTCTATAAAATGAATGCACTGAATGAAGAATTGTTCTAGAGGAGTTATTTCACTACTGCAGCCATAAATTTTACAATCAAAGGGAGAGTATTCTGTTATTGACCGTTTAAAACTTAATGTATATGCTACCAAAAGTAAAAAAATTTTATTTGAGCAAAAATATAGTGATTTTCCTTCTTTAAAGATTTATGAAGTAGCGATCATTAATAATTGAAAACTTTTTCTGTTTTTTTAGCAGCAAGTATATTAGATCTCATTTATGGAAATTAGATAACAGTATTTGTGTCGAAGAAAATAAGTTCTTCGAAAATGTAATATTTTTATACTAAAAATATACGAGAAAAGTCAGTAGGAATTAACATTGAGAATAAAAAAAGTGCAGAAATAAATTGTTATCGAACAAATTTATATTTAACCTTAATTTTACACATTTTATTAATATATAATCCATGCATTCAGTATAATACACACTAAAATCTACTTAAAATTACAAAAAGTATGTTTCGGCTGTCTATATCGCTCAGTGTTGAGTAAAAACAAACAACCTGTCATTCGTCCATAATTCATAATGCTCTAAAAACTAAGGTATTTTACAGATTTTTATTTACAAATCCATCTAATTATCTCGCGCTGCAAAAATAGGCCACAAGTGATTTTATCATCCGAAAAATCGGTCAAAGTTTGGCCGCGAAAAAGTTGTCGAATTAGCCGCGGCATACAATCAGAATGACGGATCTCTGCTCGGTTCTCAGGCCTGCGATGCGTGACTCGCGCGCGCGAGAGTCTTGGCAATTAATTCCGCTGTCAGTTGGCGCTAGAATTGGCGCCCATCCGCGCTATCACTCTGACGCCGGCCCAGGTCTCCCTGGCCGTGGGCATGATCTGCGAGGCGGGCAGCAGAAAGCCGTAGGCGCCTCGGTCCCTCAGCTCCATGGTGTAGGCGTGCTTGATGCCGGCCACCGCCTTGGCCCAGTCGTCCGATGAACCTGCGGCGCAATTAATTCGATGCAATTATTCATCGGGTCAATAATGCGCAAAAAATCGCGAGATAGAATCGCGCTTATCGCGGAAGGTCTTAAATCGATCGAAATCTCCGCGCAGTATCTAGTAATTAATAATTTATATCAGATTTTTATCATTTGAATGATTGACGAAAAATAGTTGAGGCATTATTCATGCGATCACGCAGACAAGCCACCAGTCGAGTTTCGTACTGCGCCACCACGCGAGACTCGATCTATACGGTAGCCGCACGAGCTGATAATAATGAATAATAATTAAGACTCACGTTTGTTTGAAAACAATCGATCGTCACGCGGGCGCGCGGAGAAAAACAAAATTTTTCCACGCAACGCGTTGCATCGCGGAGCGTCGGCCGCGTGCGCTGCAACTCAGCGCTCCGGAATGCGCCACATTAATTGTGCGCTTGTACTTTTTTTTATTAAGAAGTATAATTGTTGCGCAAAAGTCGATCGTTAAAATTAATCACCTGTCGTCGGGTAGAGGAGCTCGGCGGCCGGGCCGACCCTGTACTCGGTCTTGTGCACCTTGTGTATCGCCTGCTTGGCCTTGTTGGCGATGTTCATCAGCTCGTTGAAGTCCGCAGGCCTCGTGCGCGTGAAGCCCCACGGCACGAGCAGCATTTGCGAGTACGAGTGCAGAGTCAGGTAGGTCCTGCGAGTCAAAACATGTATTGTACTTGTGCTGTCGAGCTGTCGATTGCGGCGGAAAAAGTCGAGGGACTGTACCTGATGTTCTTGCGATTTTCCATGAGGAACTCGGAGATGGCTCGAGTCTCGGGCTCGGAAAAGGCGCGCGGACCCGCGTAAGTGTCGTGGCAGGGATCGCTGCTGGCCCCGCCGACCTTCTCCTCGCCCCAGTGAATGTTGAAGTTCCGATTGGCGTCGACGCCCTCGCAGCTGCCGAACAGCCACTTGGTGTAATGGCTCAGCATGTGAAACAGTCCCGGTGCTTGTCTGCTCTCGAACATAAAGTATAGTCAATGTGGGAGTCGTTTTTACTGTATATAGATGTGAAAAAGTACGCGATCCTGAAATCTCTGCACCAATTTTCCATGTATTTTGTGTATCTTTGCATGGAAAATTTTTATGAATTTTGATATGCAATCGGCCATTCGTTAGTGCGTAGCTTAATTGTAGATGGCACATCTAATACGCACGAATATGAAGGTAAAGACATTATAATATATTAAAGCCACATTCCCCATCTATATATAACTTAAGACGTATCTTTCTAATTTGGCAAAAACTCTTTAGCAAAATAATATACAGGCAAACTTGGCGGCTGTGCCCTTCAAATTCGTACTAAGAAGATTTTCTTATACGTATACACGCTACTCGAGAGAGTCAATAGTACAAGTTTCATATACCTGGCATTTTCATAGCCATCTGACGAGGCGTCGTGCGTGCTCCTGGTTTTCCTCCAAAGTCGGTCGTGCGTATGGGTGTACTCGTAGCCATCGGGATTGGCAACCGGCATTATTATCCAATCCGTAACGTCGAGCAGCCGAGTGTAATTGTCGTGCTTCTCGACTAATTGATTCAAAATATAGGTTGCCACTGCCGTGCTTATCCACTCTCGTGCGTGCATACCTTCGAGAATACATGCGTGTTATTTTTTTTTTTCGTACGAGCCCGTTAATTTTCTCTTTCGTTGTACTCCTCGCGCCTCCTCCTCGCGCGATTCTCAAGCTTTTAAAATAATAATTTCGTTGCGCGCTTTACTTTATATTGTATACATACCGATTTTCCGTTCTCGCTTGCTCTCTAACGTCGATACGTAATTACGCGAGGATTACTTTGTAATTTCGACCTAACGGATCCTGCCATTTGGAAAACTCATGCTTTTTTCTCTTTCTATGATTTAAACAGTGTTTATGATTGATCGTCTATATATGTATACACGATTCCGAGTAACAATCATTTATCATAATCACGGAGTGAAAAATTAATGTTCCGTGCAGAAAGCAGGATTCATTATTGTTTTTTACGCCTGTACACACGTACCTGCATCGATCCAAATGGATGGCTTCGGCTCGCCGTTTTTGTCCACACCCGTCGATATTTTTGCCACCATCAAGTCTCGGCCCTCGAAACTCTTACCGATCGACTCGATTTCCACGAGATGAGGATACTTTTCTTTGAGGTAATCTAGATATCCCATGATTTCTGAGAAACACAATACGTTAGTTATGTTTGAGCTTGAACGCTAAAGATCGTTACCGATTTTGTGCAATTACCTTTGTAGCGATGATAACGTTTCCAATCCATCGAGTGGCCTTGTGACGAGTATATTTCCTGCCTGCGTTGCTTGGGCATGCGTGGATTTTGAGTCGTTATGGCCTTTTGCAGATCCGATATCAGAATGGTGTAGGCAATCTTTTTCTCGCGGAGGAAGCTCTTGACGTCGTTTAAAATTATCGGCGAAACGACCATATCGGTAACTCTGAAAAATTGAAGGAAAAAGACATTGAAGGGACGCGATCGATTACACTTTGAAGAGCGTCATCAATTACTTGTTCTTAGCCGGACTGGTCCAGAACTTGACGTCGTCGGGCTCGTTGTCCTTCATCTCGATGAGGTACTTGACTTGTCTCTTGGTCTTGGGTGTCAATCTGATCAGCTGGTGATCTTTGTAGCTGACGCTGTTTTTGCCGCTGTCCTGGACGTCGTCGTAAAAATCGTCCTCGAAGAAATAATCCTCGTCGTCCTCCGAGCCAATGATGTTGCCTAAGAATTTGCCGAGATAACCAACAGCCGACTCGACCATTCCGAAGAAGGAAAAGCCTCGGGCTCTGGCTTTACTCATCAACCAGGTAGTGGATCTGCGCCGATCCAGCCACGACACGCCATCGTCCTCGTAATCCTCGTAAAGGTCGTCGTCGTCGTCGTCATCGTCGTCCCCGTCCCCGTCTACGTTTCTCTCGTTCTCGTCATCCTCCGTGCTGTCTTCGGCCAAGCCCGAGATAATATCGTCGATCCAATTTTCATCGCTCGCGGATGACGTCGTCGTCGTCGTCGTCGTAGTCGTAGTCGTCCCCGTCGGGCCTGACAGTCCGCTAGAAATGGTCTTGTTGAATCGGGCCGCTATCTCTCTGCGTTAACACAAAAGTGTCATTCGAATTAATGCGCGCGGCGTGTTTTCATTCGGTTTCGAGTGAAAAGTCCGCGTGTATGTGTGCGTGTGTGCTGTACGCAGCTCAGAACTTAACGGGACCAACGAGATTTACAGGCGGACTTTGTGTCTCTTTTGCGCGAGGCGGCAGCGAAGCACACGCATATATGTACGCGCGCGCGCGACTTTATATGATTCATTTATACATGAGAAAGCTTGAAAGAGCATTCGCGAGAGGCTTGACATTTGTGACCGGCATATTTGAGTCCCCTAGTTTCTATTCCATCATTGCGTTTGTTTCCAACGGAAATGCATTTTATTTGTTCAATAAAAGTGGCAGCAGCCTGCATACATTATAATAACGGGCGTGCGTATGCGCGCGAGCAGATTTCCACAAAGTCATTATCGAAGCTCGTTTATCATTTTATGATGGCAACGAGAGAAGCTGCCGAGCTACGTATCTCGGATCGTCAACGCGACGTCTGCTCTGTATAAAGTAATTTGTATCTGGAGCAGAGAGAAAGTGTACAGGTAATACAGGTGGGCCGCATTCGACATTATAAATCGAATAGATCCCGCGTCGATGCGGCCAACGACTGGACCGATATCGAATATAATATGTATTTATGCGCGCAGCTTTATTAAACGCGCCGATCGAGTGCCGTCGAGGCTTTTTAAGTGTCGCGCGCGGAGCTCGCGAGAGCGCGGCAAAAGTGGCACTCGCGTAATACATATAATATTGTCGCCGCTGGTCACTTTCTTTGACGCTCTAAGGATGCGAGAGCTGCACAAATGAAACACATTCGCATGGAATTTTATGTATACATACTATGTGTGTACTGTGTGCTCTGGAAGTCTCGGATTTCTGCTTACTTTTTCGTTAATGACCATTCGTGCGCGATAGAAAAATAATGTCCAGTTATATTTCGCTCGAAACAACACGGCTATAAGCGAGAGATGACGGAGGTAAGAAAAAAAAATCACAAAAATTGGACTCACTATCGCGTCACACGTATAGATCAACCTACAAAATATTCGATTCATGACAGAACTCGTTCCGTACTCGTTTTTTTTTTGTACCGTAAGAAACACAACAACCGTAAATACGTCTTGTACAGATGGTCGATTGAAATTTATTTGACGACACTTTTACTGCATGCCACGCGAATCGAGGAGGCTGAAATCGCAAGCGCGCGGGCGCCCGGCAAAAACAATCGGCAAGTCCCATACAGAGTTTGAGTGGTAAATTGAAATGCGCTGGTCGTACCTTTCGTCGACGTAGATCGGCTTGAAATAAAAGCCGCTGCCTTTGGTCACGAGGTATCCGCTCATGTTTTTGGGCACTTTGCTGAGAGACAGCCTGGAGGCATCGACGAGGCCCGCAGCAGCCAGCAGCAAGCCCGTCGCGAGGAGCAGCGTCGTCGTCGTCGTCCTCGTCATCGTCCCTCCGCAGCTCGGCATTATTTATCGCGTAAGCTGAGGCGCACTCGAGGCCCTGCACTGCACCGCATGCGGAAAAAGGTTGCCGATCGCGATCTCCTTGCTACACGGGTACTATAAGGTATAGGCGCGCGCGCGCGAATCGCCGTCGATGCTGTGCTGCCTCGCGCTACGAAAGTTCCTCGCCGACTGCTTGAAAGCGAGCGACGAGCCATAAGTATAATGCGCGACTCCATGTGGAATCCCATCCAACGGACGCGGCGCACCATAGGCACGATCGAACTTTCGTGGGGATGAGTGAAAGAGATTCAGCTCCGACGACTGTTTAGCATACGATGATTTTTTTTTCTTCTTCGTTCGGCTGCGGATGCTTGGTCGGGGGACAATGCAATTATTCACAAAGCGAGAGAGAGAGACGATGATCCGATTGGCCGATAATTACCGATTTATACGTTTTTCCCGTAATGCGCGAGCCTGACAGAGTAACGGTGGAGAAAAGTTTAATTAAAATGAGATAAGTATCGGAATGCTTGTTTGTCATTCATATAGAGTCATTACGTATACAGGAGTTGGATAGCTAGCCCCGCGAGCGCGTCTTCTGTTTCTAAATATCGACTTTAATTGAGTGTTTGCGTATCGCTGCGGCCATACAGAGCAACGGTAAAAGCTCGCTACACATTCGAGTACAATAATGAATATGTTTGTACACTTGTTTATTATCCCTGCCGCATTGTACAGCTACTCGTACTTTGATGCTCGTTAAGGAAATGCACGTCGGCGAACGATGATTTTACCGAGGAAATTGAAATGTCATACATATACAGTACGTGATCCGTTTGAGGAGTCTCTGCGGCAGTCTCGGCATCGAGAGCTTCTGCAGTACTGGCCAAGATCACGTGCGGCGGCGCCGGCTCGCCTATATATCACTTTCCTCGCGAGTACCCGTAATTTAGAAGCAGAGATTACGTGGAGCCAACGCAACACAATGTCTGTATAACGATGCTACGACGATGATGGTACTCGCGGCTGCTGCTGCGGTATATTACTTTCGTTGCTCGGCGTTATTACGACAAATTGTCTCTCATTATACGCGCGTTACGATGCGCGCCTTATGATTCGTATTAATGTAACATATCTCTCGGTGAAATTAAATGCACGCAAATGCGTCGAGTTTTATTTTAGGCTCCAAAAGTTTCGAAAAGCCGCGACAAAAAAGAGTCACGGGCGCACACGCGCAAAAGTAAGCCAGAAATAAAGGTGCATACGGTCGCTCGCTCGCTCGCTCGTTTCGCACATGTAAACCTGGCTGGAGCTGACACAGAATTTTCCTCGGCCGCGAACAAGGCCGGCGGCCAGGTCGATCGGCGACTCGTGCGCCCGAGTGCGGCCCATGGCGCGAGCAGCAGCAGCAGCAGCAGCGCAGTCCCCCGTCAGTAGGTCAGCGCGCCTGAATTTGCCGTTATAGACCACAAGAGTCAACGCTGCGAGCGCGCGCCGCGCAACATTATAATACAGCAGCGCACGAGGGAGTGCAGTGCACTGCGCGGCTGGGCCATGATGTTGTTGTGCTGTAGAGCTATATACATATACAGTAACGCGAGTCAACCCGCGACGACGGGAGCACATTCGGAGAGAAAAGAGACCCGCCGCCGCGCGAGTCCCCGTAACGCGTGACAGTAGTCGGCGGCGGCAGTGGCTCCGAATCGTTACGCTCCGATTGTAACTTCTCGGCAACTCGATATGTTCGTGCCGCGATCCGCTGGCACAGGACTCGATTCTGTATCACTTCTGTATCACAGAAGCGACGCCGATGGCGCGATATAATTTTTATGTATGCCAATGTACTCGAGGCGCGATGCGATTCGCTCATCCGAGGCGACGAATTTCCACGCGATATTCGCATGAAATGCAGAGGTGCAGCTAGGACGACTTGACGCTGCAGCGCATCATACCCAACTGTGCGTGCTTTTCCCGCAAAAATCGCACGGAGAACGAGAGAAAGACTTTCTAATTTACAAGTGTCCGATTTTCTTGCCTATTTATTCCAACGATTGATTGTTATATAAATGGCAACTACTAAAGTTCAAACAAATGCTAAAAAAAAAAATTGCACTTCGATCGTAACATTGTTATTGTCTTGCGAATTCAATAAGACGTAATACCGAAATGTAAGAAACAAACTTTTAGCCCATTTAAACATTGAGGAAAATTACTTATTTACTACTTTTTTACAATTTACAGAAACAAATTGAACCAAGTACAATAGTAAATCAAGTAGCTACAAAAGATTGGTTACAAAAATATTCTTCAGGCTATTCTCTAGCTCGAGAAACTGAGGATAATCATAGGAACTAATATTACAATTGTTACGCTTCACAGCCTTTTGAATGAACTTTAGTTGATTCTCGCGAACTCGAAAATTATTTTTACTATTTTGCACGTGTGACTCGAATAAGCATAAATCATTTAAAATATTTTTTTTCGTAAACCACACATCTGCGCGTGCAAAATATGAGTCATATTGCAGCCAATGAGCGTCCGGTAAAAAAGGACAGACCGCGTCTATGCTCGACGTTTCCCTTCTCTTTCCTTTCCTTCGTTTTGCAAGCCGCATGACAGAGTTTGATATTGTCAATATCCTTTGATAAAATGGCTTTAACAATTTCAAAAAAACGCAAGGTCCGTAAAAAAAAATTTAGTTAACAAGTATAAATTCCATCCGACTTATAATTTGGATTATTTTATAAATACCAGCTGAATCTTTTCTATACTCGTGACTAATCAATCTCTATTGTTGATATTATAAATTTTGTTTAAAGCTTAAAAAACGAAATATTTTTGTTAAAATATAAATAAATTTTATGATTTAAATTGAAGCTTTGAAAACTATCATCAAATGAGTTGTTAAGTTTCACCAATGTTGGATGGTTCTTAACCTTCTTAATATTTTAAGAATAGCTAATATTAATATCAACCTACACACAAATTTATACACAAATTATTACAAGCATGTAAAAATCAAATTAAAATTGAATTTCAGTTTGACATTTCATGTAAGCACATACATGCATTGTTGTCACAGCATTCAATGTCAACAGAGTTGTGTCAAAACAAAACAGGAGATGCTATTTTTTTATCTTCTTAACAGTATATGTGTAGTATATACATGTACATAATCTTTTAATTGTCTTACCTCATGTTTTAGTTTGTTGGAGATGGAGTTTTCAAAGCTGAGTTGAATGAACTTTTGACTCGTGAACTTGCTGAAGATGGATATTCTGGTGTGGAAGTGCGTGTCACTCCACAAAGGACTGAAGTCATTTTGATGGCTACTCATACCCAGAGTGTTTTGGGAGAAAAAGGTAGAAGAATTCGAGAACTGACCTCTGTTGTGCAGAAGAGATTTGGTTTCAAAGATGGATGCATTGAACTTTATGCTGAAAAAGTTGCTACAAGAGGTTTGTGTGCTATTGCACAAGCTGAATCGCTGAGATACAAGCTTATTGGAGGGCTGGCAGTACGTAGGTGAGTTATATTTGATTATATTTAACTTTCAAAAAATTATCCAAGTTCCCATTCTAAAAAATTGATGATATATTAAATACTTAGTTGTATTAGATATGCATGATACTCTTATTATTAGTTATCTAAAAGATCATATTTTAATTCAATGTTTCTTTTAAATTTAGAGCTTGCTATGGTGTACTCCGTTTTATCATGGAGTCTGGTGCTAAGGGTTGTGAAGTTGTTGTCAGTGGTAAACTTCGTGGTCAACGTGCTAAATCTATGAAGTTTGTTGATGGACTTATGATTCACTCCGGTGACCCAACAAATGAATATGTAAACTCAGCTACAAGACACGTACTACTCAGACAGGGTAATGTATTTTGAATTCCACACTTTTTTTTCATCATACAATATAGTTAGACTTTTTTATTGAACTTAAACAATTTTTTACCAGGTGTTCTTGGAATTAAGGTAAAAATTATGTTGCCTTGGGATCCAGCAGGCAAGAACGGACCCAAAAAACCACTTCCAGACAATGTTATTGTCCAAGAGCCTAAGGAAGAACAAGTTTTTACCGCTCCAGTTTCTGAAACTAAAATGGTTCCACCTGTAGCTCAGATAGCGCCAATGCCTGCACAAATTCCAGTTGCTTGAATTTTTCAATAAATTTTATACAACAACTGAACTTTTGTTGATCATATTTAAATCTTTTTAAACATGTTTTATGATTATATTATTTTCATACTTTTAAGGAGTAATGTAAGAAACTATTTTTTTAAACGAGTAAGAATAGAATTTTTAAGACAAAATTGATTTAAAAAAATAATTTTCTTGATTTTCAATTGCTAACATTTACAAGAATAACATACAGAGTGATGATTTCGCTGTATGTTTTGAAAAGTTTGTTGACGCCCGCGATCAGCGATGTGACACGACGTCGGTGATACCTACGATACAGCCAACTTTTGCACGAGGTCTACGTCCTGTACGAATTGTGAATTTAGTGAATTGGCACTCACATGAAGTATATGTGGGTTGGCTATGAATCGATAAAGTAGAAATAGCATCAGACTTGTAGGAGTTTGGACCGGCGTACACTTGTGTCGCAGCACTAGCGACTCCTGAGCGGTCATATCTGATATCTTGCGTCGACCTAGCCTCTTTTCTTCGGCTAGCGGTAGAGTCCGTGCGTGCCTCTCTCATTCTTCTTACAGCCCAAAAATGAAGGCAAAGGGAGATGTGAGTAAATTTTTGAATAATTTATTTAACATATAGACAACATATGATTATCATTGCTCGAGCCTCGATTATATATTTTTTTTTGAAGACAGGGCATTTTTGATACTGCACTGTAAAGAATATACAAATTACGTACGCATATGTAGTCGCTACACGTGTTACTTTTCACAATATTCTTTATTGTTTCTTTTATTTATATTTTTATTATTATAAAATCCACCCTACATATATCGTAAGATTGTAAAAAAGATGTTAACATGTGATTGCTGTCAAATCTATATTCTTCTACATGCATTGAAGTATAAGGTTCATACTCGAGGTTAGAAAGGCTTTAGTTTGGTTAATGCAATTAAAACTTATGTGCATGTCAGAGACTTATTTCAAAATTGATGAGTTGACCCTCAATATAATGTTAATAACAATTGCCTTCATCAACCGGAAACAAAGTTTATAATTTAAATTAAATTTTTCAGCTCAAGGAATACGAAGTCATTGGGCGTAAATTGCCCACTGAGAAGGAGAAGGAGACTCCTCTTTACAAAATGAGGATCTTCGCTCCTGATCATATTGTTGCTAAATCCCGTTTCTGGTACTTCTTGAGACAACTGAAGAAGTTCAAGAAGACTACTGGTGAAATCGTATCCGTCAAACAGGTATTGTCATACATTCATTTAATCATATCTATTAATTTAATTTATCACTTTATTATATTTTCATTTCTTTCTCTTTTATATTAGATCTCCGAAAAGTCCCCAACCAAGATCAAGAACTTTGGTATCTGGCTGAGGTATGATTCCAGATCTGGAACTCACAACATGTACCGTGAGTACAGAGATTTGACTGTCTCCGGTGCTGTCACTCAGTGCTACCGTGATATGGGTGCTCGTCATAGAGCTCGTGCTCACAGCATCCAAATCATTAAAGTAGAGAAAGTCAAGGCAGCTGATTGCAGAAGACCAAATGTAACTCAGTTCCATGATTCTAAAATCAGATTCCCATTGCCAAAACGCATCCAGCACAGAAAACAAATGCCTGTGTTCAGCGTCAGGAAACCAAGAACTTTCTTCCTTTAAGTTCATAGACACTGTGTTAGCTCCTGAAGCTGAGATTGGAATTTATTAAATGAAAATAAATTATTTTTAATAATACCTAATCAAAATGAATAATGTTTTTTATTTTTACTTCATTTGCTCTAGCTAGTTAAACTCATTAAACTATGAACTAGCAATATTTTGCGTAATCTTACATTTACAGAAATTTGTAGAATAATCACTTATAGTGAATTTTAGAAGTTTAGTGCAATCGGGAGAATCTCTAGATTCAGACAATTTTTGCAATAGACATAAATAAATGAGTAATTACAGTGCACAATCTGCACATACACTTGTACAGCAATGCACATGAACTTCTGTTCAATTTCAAATATTTGTTTACTTTTTATGAAATTATTTCATTTTTAAAATTTTTGGTTCTTGTACCAAATAGTTTTTCCCAACAAAATGAAAAAGTGAATTTTCATTTATCAAAAATCACAAAATAAGTCTAAATTTTACCTTTTGCTAAAAAATTGTATTGCATTATCAATACTAATAACCATATAAACAGAAAAGTAGATCCAAAATAGACTCAATTACAAATAAAAATAATTTTTATGCATAGAGTTATGAAAATAAAATGAAGCCGTCATTTTCTATTTGAAAATGTAAGAAAATTTGTAATGAGCTTAATTCAGAAACTTTTAATTTAATTAATATTATTTGATTTAAATCAAACTTCATTATTGTTTTGATAAGCGTTCAGAGATTATTTCGAAAATAAGTAACAAAAATATTAGTTTTTAATTTATTCATATAATCGTTTATTGAGACAATTATACAATAATGACTGACGTAGTTAAAATTAATTTCACGAAAACAAACTGAAAAATTAAAATCAATTATGTTAGTAATACATGGACTGGCGAAACTAAATATTACAATTTTTAATTCAGAAATCTGATCGAGTCATATTATTCGTATATTTTAAAATTAATGTATTAAAATCGTAGCTTATATTCTTTTTTAAAAATAATAATCGATAAGTAATAAAATTAATATATTACATTAATCATAGTTAAAATATTATAATGTTTACTTAATATTATATGTAACAATTGAAAATACAAATTAAAACGGATATCGTACATATTAAATTATTGCTCGAATTTTGACTAGTACGCATAATAGTATTGTTTAAAATCTATACAACTAATACGCGAAGAAATTGAACTTAGTTATAAGGTAATAGTTAAATCTCAAATTACGAAAATCAATTTTACTTGTTGTTGCGAAGCTACGCTTTATGTTAAAATATGCAATTATTTGCTTATTTTGTCGAGATTCTTGGGTAGATATTTTTTTCTAACTCTTCTCTATCAGGATTGAACTCTAACAATGGCAAGATTTTGTAAGATGATTGAAATAATCATAACAATACCTCTTTTACAGAATAAAGCTAATATTACGTATTATACGTTCCAATACCAAATTCAAATATTTCGAATTCGAACAAAACGAAAAACAAAACCAACAATCAAATACATCTATGAATACATACGTATATTTGGCTAATTGTAGTTTTATTAGATTTGGGCTAGTTTCTCAATAAGACATACTCATTCACACATACTCACATACATACCAAAGGCTGACTATTTCATAGCTGCCCTTTAACAATTATTATTTGCTCGCACGTATTGTGATACATAGTTTAACAACGACGAGTCCCTTATTGAATGTGGATTATAATAGCGTTACTCGTTAATAAACTGAATATTTATTTTATAAAAGTTTTTCGAAAAATTTACTCGTTAAATATTCCAAAAATTTTAGCCAAAATTGCAGTGAGGTGTATGTAGTATTTTGTTGCCACGGCATTAGAATTATTTATTTGAAGGAGTAAGCTGCATTTTTATAATCGTTGGACGCGTCGTTAACGCCAATCTCAAACGATGTTCGCTTTGGAGTGTGCACAGCTCATCAGCACCTTATTAACAAAATTGACAATGGCCGTAGCGGGCTGCTCTGGTTCCAATTCAGCGAATATGTGGCACTGATTGTCAGATTTATGAGCTGGCTTGCGCGCAACGAAGCCAAAGCAGCGACTGCAAAAATAAAAGAAAAATGAAGAAATTGTTTTCGTTCACTGCACGTAGGCAAAGTAACATTGTAAATATGCTCACTGTTCGCTAAGGGCACGGCCGGTCGCTCCATTGACAAAGTCCCAGGTACGCTCTTCGCTATCGAGCCCGCAGTAGCTGATATTATTCGTGGGATAGTGTCGACGGAAGAAGAGTTTTCGCGCGTTGTCAGTCAACGTGATGCCTTGGGTCGAGACTTTGAAGTGCACAATCGTCGCATTTGGCCGAGGTTTTTGATCGAACATCGCAGTGATGGTTTTCTTGATGGCCTGCGGACCGGTCAACGATTCCGTGTCGAGAGTGAACAAATACAACACGTTGCAAGCTGTTGTTGACGATAGAAAACAGTGGATAACAATTAAACGATCATAAACGAATTGTAACAGTTGAGAAAACATTGTATACTAACCGGCTCCCTGAGCCAATAACTGCTGCGGGCTGTTGGTCAACGACGACTCCAAGACTCTGGCAGCGGCTTCTGGCTCTGGTAACAATAACTGACACGGGAGAGCCATTGCCATCAAACTGTGTTGATAAACCAAAGCCGACAGCGAGCTGAAGACGGGCTCGTTGGCACATCCCTTCAGTCTAACACCTCGTGACGTGGGCTCAATTAGGAAGTGTCGCACCAGCTCGTTCGTCGGGTCTTTGGGACTGATTGGCGCTCCAGGCGGCGGCGTGGCTACTTTCAAAGCTAAGCCAAAAGCGCCTGGAAACGAGTTACTGTCCCTAACTACGAAGGTACCCGGTGGTGCGTTCCTAAGCATCGCAATCGCTGAAAAGAGAGTTGATCGTTAGCGATCGATTTTTTCTCAATAAATTCTGAGTATGTTTTAATTATGAATCGTACCTTGTTCGCGTGAGATGTTTGGCTTGTACCAAATCTTGCTTGTGTCACGAACGAATTTGACATTGGCGTCGGCTACTTCCTGAGGTTCCGTGCTCAGACTCGATCGACGGGAATTGTAATACTGTAAATGCGCCGTGTGTCCACCTGGGCTATTTAACGATGTGTACGATATAGCCCCCTAAAAAATTACCATGAAAATTATATTCAATACCCAACAAAAAATCAAAGTTTTTGGATATAAACATTTGTAGTTTAGTTCGTGTGCCCACGTAGTTAACACATTTGTACACAATCGGTGTAAGAAGATCAAGCCCTCTGCTTGATTGAATATTAATCTAATCAATTGGGTAATGATGAATCGTTATTTTTTTTGGATTACTCAAAGTCTTAGGACCCAAATATAAATATGAACGGTTAATTAAGTAAAATTTAAACTATGATTAATTGGGCTTAATTCAACAAGTATTTTACCACTTCGCTCAAACTTCCGATTTGTCTTTCGATCTACAAATGAAAAAATAACGTGGCGTTGATTTTTTTTTTCAAATTGAATTAGCTTAATTTTAAAAATCGTTGAAATTATTTGAAATTAATAAAATCTATTAGAAGAATTACCTTTGGAACCTGTCCGTATTTCAGGTGGGTTGGAGTACTAGGACCCCGACCGTAAGAATGTTGACTAATTAAATCGTCCAGCGGAGAGACAGGTCGGTCCTTGCTGTAAAACAATTTTTTCCTTCAAAATTTTCGTACAAAGGTGCACATCTATCGAAAAGTTCAGAAAATAGTGAAAGTTTAAAAATAGGGAGTTTAAAAATAGTTGAAAAAGTGCTGAGTAGAGTTAGTTTTAAAAACAGTTTGCCAATATCATGCATTATTATGACCACAACAAAGACGAGTTAATTTTGTTTTACCTATAGTCGACCGACGCCGACTGTTTAATGAGTGGCCATCGTTTGTTAAACGATTCGCTTACGCCATTATCCGGATAACTCAAGCGGCTAAAAAAACAACCACCGAATTCGATAGAAAAAAGTTATGGTATCCAAAATCAGGCGTTAAAACTTTTAGTCATGACCCATCACCAATTAAAGGGAGGGGAAAAACTGATCGATGTCATTGAAAAAATAAACTCACCGTTGAGTTGTCGGACTCTTAGGCGGCAGTCCCGTCTCTCTCATATCTCTGCGCTCTTCGATGAAGATCGCCCTGTCAGCAGTTCCACCATAATTGTGATTGTGATGATGATTATTGTTCGTTTCCAGAGCCACGTTGTTGTTGTTGTTGTAGCTGTGATTGTTGGCCAAGTGGTGGTGGTGATGATGATGGTGGTGATGATGATATTGCTGCTGTTGCTGCTGACTCGGGCGATCCGAGGCAAAGGTGACGCTGGGCGTCGAGGCGTTGTTGTAAGGCGTTCGCGGATGCACCGGAAAGGCCGGAGTCTGCGGCCTCGATCCGTGAATTATGCCCTGAACGCCGCTGCTCGTCGGACTGACGCTCCTCTCGGTCCACGATGACGACGCGTCATTGTGCGACTGCGGAAGAGAGCCATGCATTAGTTTACCTCTTTGCGAGTATCTTTCAAAGCTCAAATTTACTTCAAAAGCCCACCAAGCGATGTTCATAATTCATGCGATAATATATTTTCCAATACGTGCGTTCATGATAATTGTATGTACAACTCGATAAGGTACTACTACATAGTGAATAATCGATGATGCGTGCTTGCGATTGCGAATAAAAAAAAGAAGCTTCGAAAGCGTGTTGAAATGCAGAATGAAATTGGGCTGCTGAGAGCGGCGACGAACCTGCAAAGTGCTAATACACTGCCATGCTTTTGGCGACTGGTTAGGTGTGGCGTATGTGGTGTTATTAATGGAATTTTGATGATGACTACGCGAAGAGTTGACGTGCTCGTCGTGCTTATCGCGAATCACAATGCCATTGTTAATGCTCGACGACGAGGACGCGGTTACATAGCCATTTCCAACAAGCGGCTTGATGTCCGATAGCGACTCGATTAAGCTCACGAGAGGATCAGCCGGAGACTGGTGGTTGCCGCTGGCGTCGTTGTTGTTCTGAATGGTCGGCGTCGGCGAGGCTGGATGATGATCGACTATGGTCAGCACCTCGGTCACCTCCGTGATGATGTCCTTTTTCGGACTGGCGCCGTTGCCGTAGGCGCTGCCGACTGCGCTGCCGGCCGCGGCCGTCGCGTAATAACCGTTGCTCGTTTGGTTCCTCGACTCGGGCCTCGAGGGGTAGCGGGACGAGACGAGGCTCGTCGCCTCGTCGTACGTCACCTGGCTGTGGCTGCTCAAACTGCTGGCGGCCATCAGCCGCGAGTGCTCGCGCAGAAACGACTCGGTTTTGGCGAAACTGTCGCTGCGCGACTCCGGCCTCGGTGGCGACGACTGATGGTGCCCGTTGCTGTACTTCTGCAGCATCAGCGGCGGACTCTGTAATTTATACGAAGCAAGCCAAGCTCGCGATGTGTCTCTCGTCTCTGTTCTTGTCACCGACGTTCTTAACAATTATGTTGCTTAACTGATGGGGGGGCCTTCTCTTTTCCGTCTCGTTCAGCGTTTGTTTGTTACTTTTCGTACATGGTTTTGTGAATAAATAATCGTCTATTTATAAATAATAGCAGTCATGCGGATGCATCGCATTCCGTGCTCAAGTCACAACTACATCCTACTGGCGTTCGGCATAAATCGCAGTGTGTAATAGTTGCGGAAAGTTCGTAATGCGCAAAATGTAGTTCTAACTTGCTTATTCGTAAATTTATATTATATAAGTAAATTTAAAAATTAGTGCAATAACGATGAAGTCTATTAAAAGTAATGAAATTTGTGACGTTGTCGAAAAGAAGTTAAAAAGTGAGCTTTTTTGATGAAATAAAAAACGAGTGTAAGACATTGAATTAAGAATAAAACATCGAGTTAAAACTTGCATTCTAATTTTGTATCTATAACAGTCAAACGTTATAAAGTTGTCGTTGATCAATAAAAACATTAATCGCCTACTAATCTAGGTGTGAATTAAACGGAAAGTCAGTATATCTGAATTGTTTCAACTGTATTAAGAAGAGTGTCAGAGTGAGTGTTAGAACGATAATTTTAAAGTATTTTTCCTATTATTTTTACTGAATATATTTGTTTAGAAAGCTGAGAACCTCTCAAAAAAATGTACCGTTGAAATAATAGGAAGCGTACTTAAAATATAACATTCTCAAGCTATAACTCCGACATGTACTTGATAAACACAGCGAAGGGATCGGGTAAAGCAACACGAGTAAAAAAAAAGGCAAACTCACGTGGTTATCGTTCTGTTTTCGTATCTCGTAGGCTCGTTTACCAGCGAACGGCCGATCGTTATTGAAGCTCTCGGCCCTCGGCCTGCCGTTGCTCTGATGATGATGATGATGATTGAAGCTATTGCTGCCGAGCAGAGTTCCATTGACCTTTCGCGATCTCTGGGGCAGGAGCGGGCTCGCCGGCGCCGAGCTGTTGACCGTCGATCGGCCGTTGGTCTGCGAGACGGCGTGATGGCTGTGGGACCAGGAGCTGCTGTTGTCGTCGTCGTCGTCGAGCACGGCCGAGTCGCTGGCGTAGCCGTCGTGCCTGAGCCGCGACCTCTGCACGTTTCTCAGCTCGCCGATCATGCGGTTACCGGTCTCCTGACGCCAGAGCCGCGCCGGGCTGCGCTCCTCCCTGCGCTGAGCCAGCTTCATTTGCTGCTGCTTCAGCCACAATAGCCTGCGAACCCGTCGACATTTTATTATCCTACCTCGTTATTACATCGCACTCGAAAATAGCCTTTATTATTGCATTAAACATTAAACTATAGCCGCTCGGTAAGCGAGCTCGGATCATTTTTATTAAAATTTCACTTTCGCTCGAAATAGCGCAGCTTTTATCTTCGAGCGAATTTCCGGTCCACGCGCTCGGCGCCCCGTGTATTACGCCGTATTATAGCATCGGTGCAAAAGTAGGTTGCTACGCTCTTCTCCAGAAGCGTATACAGCAGCGCACACTCACACACACACACACACACACACACACCCATGCGGCAGCCGATTTAGCAACGCGCGCGACTATATACATAGATTAGTTTCTCAAGTTTCTGCCGCTGCTACTGCCACTGCTGTATCGCCGCCGCCGTTGCTGCTGTGCACACAACGAGACACTATATTTGTATAATTATGTCAGAGGGCGAGTCTGGCTCAAAATAAATATAATACACGCTCGCGGCGCTCCTTCATTGTGCTCGAACGCGTATACACGTAGTAGGTACGTAACGCATCGCGAAATGCAGAGGAAAACTCACCCATCGCCCGGTTGGTCGTTCCTCTTGGAATTCAGCGGCGTCGAGGTCTTCATGCTCATCGGCCCGTTGGCGAACTCCGGCGGTGGGTCGGGCGGAGTTATTGGGCTCATCGGTCGACTGACGTTTCTACCGTTACTCTCCCCGAGGAGATCGTCCAAATCGACGACTTGTGCGGCGCTTTGTTGCTGCTGCTGCAACTGCTGCTGATACTTGGCCTTGTCGGAGGCTTTCATCGAGGCCTTCCTCACCAGGGACGGCGAGGCGAGCTTCTGGTGCTGCTTCAACATCTCGCCGGGTGCCCCGTAGGAGAACGGCTGGCTCGTCTGTCTCGCGTGGTACGGTATGTCCTCGTCGATGAAGTCGATATTTCCGGCCGGCGAGAACGAGTCGGCCTGCTTGAAGTCGACCGAGTCGTTGTTGTTGTTGTTTCGTTTGAGGGTGCTGTAGGTGCTGCCGGAATTTTGACAGTGCGGAGAGGCGTCCTTGACGGTGCTGTTGCTGCCGTAGCTGCGACAGGACTCCTTCAAAGTCGAGTAGGTCGAGGAGCTGCTCGGTTGGCTGCCGTTGCCGTACGATCTCGGCGACTGGTCCTGCACGTACATCTTGCCTCCGTTGCGCAGCACGTTGCGTCCAAATTCGTCGGTTTGCGGGTCTGGATACGACTGCGGAAGGAATCAAAATAATTAAGAATGCATACGCGCGTTGATAGCTAGCAGAGAGTGTGTAGAATAAGTCATACCTCGACCGTGAGCATCATGTCTTGCAAAAGCTTATCGAGATCGCAGTGCACTTGGCTCTCGTGGTCTTCGGGCGGACTCGGTCTCTGTGGTGGAGCGCTGCTGATGCCGCTGTCCATAGACACCGTCAGTGGCGACGAACCACGACCGTTTTGGCCGCTCTGATTGTTGACGCTGCCATTTTGCGTCACGCTCGACTGTTGTTGTTGCTGATGCTGTTGCTGCTGCTGTACTTGTTGATGCTTCGACTGTGACTGTTGACTTTGGTTGTGCTGTTGTACGACGGCGTACAGCGAGCCATCGATCGGGCCACAAGTGTAGCGAGGCGTCGACGCCGGGATCGAGGCCGACGGCACCGACAGTGGCGTTTCACGGCCTTCTGGAACATATTTTTGCAGGCATTGACTTTTCGGTGAAATTGGGACGCGCGATAGTTGGCAAAAAAAAAAGAAAAAAAAACAATGAACTCTCGAAGCGCGTACATACATACTTTCGAAACTTGCATTACATAACTCGGAGTTCGAGTTCAGTTGACAAAAAAAAGCAAAGAACACAATAATATACAGATGCCGTGTATGCACTCCAAGTACTTGGGGAGGCAAGGTCTAAAAAAAACTCTGATCTCACGAGGGTAAAAGGTGCCGAGAATTTAATCCATTATAACGAAGATATCTCTCTCCGAGTTGGCGCGAATTATCAGCGTAGCGATCCTCGAGGTGCTGTAAAAAATGCGCCCGCGAGATTATCATACAAATACATTTTCCGTTTGCTATAATCGAGCGATGTTTTTCTGCTGCGAGAACGATCCGCAGAGAAACAAGCGAGCGAGCGATAAATCAACACGCGCACACACACACACACACGGTGTGCAGTGCATATAAGAGCGCGAACTTTCGAGGCGCAAAATTAACACGGTCGAATTTGAAAGAGCACGAGGGGGAGAAAAAGTTTCGCTTGTGTACAAGTTTTCGAGTCGATATGACGATAGTGGTAAACGCCCATCGGCGAGTTTAGATGCGTTGCCGCCTTTTCATCTCGCCAGTATTCAATTTCGCACCCGTAAACCTTTATACAGCGTGTACTATGCTCGCTCTTATCTTCCGCAATTAATCCTTCCTTTCTTTCGCCTCTATATTATGTATGCACTCGTAGGCGAACAAGACGAAGAACGAGAAGGAGGGTCGGAAGGAGAAGAAGAAGAAAAAGAGGAGCTCGAAATGATTCTTAATTGGCTAATATAAAAATGTAGCTCGGAGCTTCGTGTTTTTGGGAAAGATTTCGCAGGATAATCGTGTCGAGACGTCGAAAAACTGTTATATTTCGGAATGGATTATTAATTGCCATTGATTTATGTGCGTGTCCGGTGGAAATGAAAGTAACGTTTCTTCATCGGAAATATGCATGAAACAACAACGGAAATCGATCCTCTTCGGTTGTGCAAAAACAAAAATGACCTCGAAGTCGTACCGTGTGGCTCAATTTATCGATGTGCTGTATGCATCGCGAGCCGAACCACACGATACGGGCTCGCGACAAACTCTCCTGCCGGTCCGAGATATATTTATTAGCAAGGAGTGCGCCCATCTTTTTGACTCGACAAATACGAGCATATGAATACGAAACGGTTCTCTTGAAAATCATCGAAACCGCAAAATCTCGTCTTGCACCTGCGAGCGCTGCACTAGCATGTGCATACACGCGAGCAGGGAGTCTGCAGGTTTGGTTCGCAGCCCAAGCGAGGAAGACCACCCTGGAAGCTTATTTGCCAGTCACGTGAGTCCGCTGCCGCACACGGTACACAGCTGCAGCGCACGTACGTATGTATGTATAACGAAATGAATCGCGTGCGCGTATGCGATGTCCCGAGGTCATAATACGCCTAGATATGCACGTATAATACGTACGGATCTCTTGTACCGTTTATCTCTTGGAAAACGAGAGGTCCGATGAGCTAGCTATAGCCGCGCGGGGCCGCTACACGCCGCGGTTGCAGCGCGGCGAGGATTTTTTTCGCGATAATCGTCGAGGCGTATCGGCGCGATTATTAGCATAATTGCGCGTGTCGAAATTTTCAAAAAATATCATATCGTATACGAGTCGCACGATCGACCACTGATTCAATGAAATCTCCGGAATAATATTTCGTAACCGAATGATATTTGTGCATAATTTACTCCAGAAGACCCTCTCGGAGATTCAATTATGTCAATAGGCAACTTCCTGCGACTTGACAAATTCATATATACATAAAGTAGATAGCCGCGGCGGCGTCGGCGCGCATCGTTACGCGGGCCGGTAGCAGAGCTCGTGCCACTCGTACGTAATATACACACATGTTAATGAGATTTTTCTGCCTCGTATCGATTATGTACATTACGCGCGCGAAAATCAGCGATAATATTTATACAGCGAAGCGCCGGGCTTGGCTCGACAGAACAACTTTTAAACACTCGCACTCGCGCGTACAGCAGCGGCCTATAGGTATATTAGATCCGATGTTATTGTACGTAGCGGCATTGACTTCTTTTTCCTCCACATTGACGCGTCGAACGCCGAGTGTATAAGGTAATTTTGTCAACGGATCATAAAAGTGAAAGCTCGATTTGTCGTGGGACCAGAAGAGACCCACACCCTCAGCTCGTAGAGGCCAATGCTTCATTACGCATCGTGGGAGATAAATAAATGAATTTCTAAAATTGCGCGTATATATCGTCATTGCGGAGCGTGCAGCGATTCGAGTTCTGATCTCGTCATGTGAATGCATGACTTTTGGCGTTCTCACCTGCGCAAAAAGTGGCACGGGACACCACTTCTGATCGGTATTGCGATCGGATGGACTAATTACACTTATGTACAATACGATACGTCCACTGCTCGTTGACGTGAATTTGACGCGTGAAAAGGCCATCGGTATTTTATACGCAAGAGAAAGGTTTCGCGGATCGCGAATTATTTCGAGTCCCGAATAAGATATGCACGATCAAGATCTTAAAATAATATCCTTATAAGAGATCACGGGTCAGCGAAGAATAACATTTAGATTCTGGGTTTTCTACGCGCGCGTGGGCTATTATAGACGTCGAAGGTTTTTGCATTAAAAGCTTTTTGGCTCTTTATGCGGGACACTTTTTGGAGCGTTACGAAAATAAATCATCAAAAATTTTGAAACGTTATTATGTAGCTTTGTGTGTGTGTGTATGAATGAGAGAGAAAGAGAAGAAGAAGAATTGAGCAAGGTGCAGCTAGCTAAAGCTCGTTAAATGCCAGATTAATGACGAAATCACGCAGCTCTATAGAATAATTCCAAATCTTCATGAAATCCAGTAAAATAATCCACTGCACGCTTAGGTATAGCAGAAGAGCTGCTTGGAAGAGGCTCAAACGGCACGGTTGTATCTTACCCTTTTTAGGCAACGCGCGGAATCGCATCTAATGCAGCTTAGTCACGCATCTCCGCGTGCCTCTATATATACTTATGTAAGAAACTCGCCTTTGGGCGCACCGAGTACTGCACTTACTCTATACATATATACATTTGTTATAAGCAATTTTCGATTCTCGATTCACTCACCGATGATATATCTAGTAAATAATTATTTCACGCACAGACACAGACTTTGCCCGGTGCCACAACACACGCCGCGTGCACTTGTTTAACTTTTGTCGCTCGTTTCGATTTCACGCTCTCGAGCCGCTTCGTTGAAAAACAAAATTACTCGTACACTTTGGGCGCTCTCGGAGAAAAAGCTTAGAGCTCACGAGGCAAAGTCCAAATAAGCTCGTGTGCTTGTGTGTGTGTGTTTAAATATAATATCTATAAGCGCGGGCGCGCGTTCTGCGAGAGGACAGAATCGCCACTGACACTCTGACTCTTTTTACACTTAGCGAGTAGCAGCAAACGAGAGAAACTCAACCCACGCAACTCGCACACACACACGAACGGCTACAAATACACACACGGAGGCAGGAACTTGTATATACATATACGCACACGCAGTCACAGAGGCGCGTTTCGCTCGCACACGTGAAGGCGTTACACACACACACGCTCACATACGTGTTTTCTTTCACTTCTCGTGTGCAGACTAGCGCGATATTGCGCGCCTTGTCGCGGTCAATCGCACTCGTATACACGAAGCTCGTGCGCTCGCGGATAGTGGGATGCGTGTAATCGATTAAAAGGAAAAAATAGTGGGATTATTCGCGTGCGAACGTACACACACACAAACACACACATATACACGCGTACGGAGGCGCAGACGAGGAGGTGGGACGACTACGACGACGACGACGGCGACGCGAGCACGTGTGCAAAACGATCCAGTCAGCCGTACGTATATACATATGGGCGCGTGTTATGCAATATCGATCTGCATGGGTTTTATCACCTGTCTGAAACCTGCTGTTATTTATAAATAATATAAGTGGAAAGCGAAAAACATGTTCGATTCTCGAGGGCGCTTATCACGCCTATATGCGTATGCGTGTATATAATAGACTCGACTCGAGCTAGGCTAAGCGAATATCGAAGCTCGCCGTTTGCATCGGACCTTATGATATATCGCATTCATTACACCGGTGCACCTATATGCACTGTACGCGCGCTTAATCTAAAATTAGCCTTCGGTAAGAATATCAATGCTGCGCGCGCGTATACAGATATGCCCAATGCGAAACGTTCGAAAAGTCTAAATTCAAAACCCCCGCAGTGTCTTCTATTTCTATCGTTTTTTTTCCTCCAAACGTCCCGTACGCGCGGCCTACTTCTTTACGCTTCCTCGCGAGCGTGTAACTTGTGATATACATTACAGGCAGGCAGACGCACTTGCGCAATCCGTGGGCTATTTTTTTTCTCTCTCTCTCTGCATCGAAAAATATATTTTTCACCCACGATTCTCACGAGGTGTATTACCCCTTCCTCGGTAAAAGCCTCCGAAAGAGCCGTAAAGAGCAAAAAAAGCTGGCCCCGTGAGCGCGCGCGCGCGCGACTTTTAATTTAAAAGAAAAAAGCAGCGGCGGCAGCGCCATGTATGGCACGCGCGCGCCTCGTTTTCTCTCGCGCCCATAAATTCTGTTTCGCGCGCGACTTACTTTTGCACTGTGTATAATACATATATAGAAAGCTCCCAGGAAAGAGAGAGAGAGAGAGAGAGAAAAAAAAGTTACTGACCTTGAAAGGATTGTGTACTCAAAGGACGCGTACGAGGTGAATCGCGTATACGTGGGCGAGATCCCGACGTATCGAATTTGACCAACCAGAAGATTAGTAAATCGATCGCAATTAATCAAAATTCGAATGGGAAAAAAATGCCAGATAGATCGAAACTTGAAAGATAGCCATGTAAGAGCGGAAAACGGCTGCGCGAGACAAGTTACACG